AGTCACCTGTCTTGTGTCCTGTTCATCCAGTTTGGACAGTGACTGTCAGCAATTGAGACAAGGGCAGTTTCTTTGCCCACATGGCTAGCTTTTGTCATAAAGAAAACAAACTCCATATGGAGTTTCTTTGATGCTCAGCATCTTCTCTGAAGTAGATTGGTGCTGCCAGGAGCTGATGTGTCTCACTGTCATGAAAGCCTTAGGTATTAAATATATTAAGTGCCGTATTATGTAGGTCTTTGAAGTGTTTGAAGACCATCTATCTAAATATATCTGTGTATGACATTGAAAGCATACCTAACATGACTATAAGTTTGACTATTATGGATGACTATTAATCTGTATTTCTTAATTATACATTATATTTTAAAATGAACTACGTAAGCACAATACCTCAAATAAGAGTAGAAATATACATACAGTATAACAAAATTAACTTTAAATTTGTATCAATAAACCAAAATCCATACCAATGTAAAATATGTAAGATTAATAGTTGTTTTTTGGATTAAAGTAGATTTAATAATCTGACGTTTTATTCTGTCATTTTTATATCCTTCCTTTTTCTTTTCAGAACAAGATCCCTGCATCTAATCTCCTTTGTTTAGCTTTTTTCCTGCTTATTATCCATAATAATTTGTAACCAACCCTCCTAAATGATTACAAATATTCATTATTTATTTTTGGGAATGTGGACGTAGTTCTCTAGACTACTTTCTGCTGATTGGGGGCACTGGTAATATTTGGGGGACTCTGAGAAAATTTAGGATTATGGTCAATTTCTGACTAGAGAATTCTATGAGACTGGATCATCTCAGCTAGCAACCTTGAAGCCTTTCTGGATGCAGATCTCAGAGGAAACTGCAACAGAGGCGCTCTGAGACATTGGATCATCTGACCAATGTGCTCTCATTGGAGACTTTTCAGGGGTCTTCCTGGATCAAATCCGATGATTTTTCTTAACACAGAATGAATCCACAGCCTCTCATTTCCTGTGGAAATAAAAGCAGAACCTCTTTCCCAAAGTAACATATCTTTTGACTTAAATTTTGAAGTGAAGATATTTTTAAAATACATAGGTTGGTTTAATCTAGCAGCTTTCATAATCAAATGTCTCTTAGCAGTTATCATTTGTTCATTAGCAGTCAAAAGTTAGACAACACAATAACATACAGTATGTGTATTTTCCATCTTTATGTGACTTATTATATTTATTACTCTATTTCTTTTTTAAGGACTTTATTTTAAAACTATATGTTTGTTTGTTTTGTTTTTTGTTTATTGTTTTTCGATACAGGGTTTCTCTGTGTAGATTTGCGCCTTTCCTGGAACTCACTTTGGAGACCAAGCTGGCCTCGAACTCACAGAGATACCCCTGCCTCTGCCTCCCAAGTGCTGGGATTAAAGACGTGTGCCACCACTGCCCGGCAAAACTATATTTTTAAATCTAAGACTGTGCATACTCTTTTTTTTTCCTCTCCCAAACCTGCGCATATTTTTTTTAAACATACTGTGACCTCTTTAGCCTTAAACATACTGAGGCTCTTTTTGTCTGAATCTGTCCATACTGTGCAGCTGTAACCTTTTCTGTCTACATGAGTAAAAAACTGTTGTGTAACTTAGATCATGATGGCATGCTGGTGCTGGCTCCTCTTCCTCGGTTCCCTGAGAGAAAGCGTGTTGTGCCTGTTCCTATGTTCCTGAGCAGGACACACCATTTCTTTACTGGTGTTTCCTTCCTTTGAGAATGCATTACCTGAATCAGTGAGAAAAATCTAAATCCTGATGTATAAAATGGGACTATTCTATAAAAATAATCTGCTTGTTTTGAACAAAAAAGTGAAGATCTGCAAGGTAAAAGGACTTAAGGTATTATTTCAGAGCCTGGGTTAAGGTTGAGTCTCCTACCCCCTAATCCCTTTGGTTGACATATCTTTAAATATCTTACAGTTTGAAACTGTTTCTTCTTTCTTTTCCTTGCAGTTTATTTGCTGACAACACGTTTATTCTGTAGAATTCGCCACAATCTGTACTTTGCTGAACTTGTTCTTTGGAAAGTTTAGTTGGTTCCTCTAGCTCCTGTACTTCTTATAAATTGGAGAGAATAAGGAAGGGCTCACTTCTGGAACCCACTCATCCTCAGGATGACATGTGGATTCTGATCCTGTTTGTCTAGATTTCTGACCAGAGAAAAGAAAAATAACAATAAACTTCCCTTCTGGTTTTTAATGTACAGCCAAAGTTAAGCATTGATCTAGATCTAGTTTGAGAATCACCACATTCTATCCTGCCCTTTAGACTGTCAGACAGAATTTTTATGTTGGTAATTTTGTCAGGTACAGTTGGCAGGCCATCTGTCAGCCTGAATACTATCGAAACATTTGTGGATGTTCCTGAATATTTTGATATCTGCCAGTCTGTAGACACAGGTGGCCTTGGCCTCCTTCACCCATGCATTATTTCGTAAGAATGTATTCACATGGCCTTTGCCATGCTGTGCTAGCATTTCCTCATGGAGACTTGGCCATTCTGAGATACTTGTTGACCACTGTTAGTCCTGTGCTAGGGTGTAATCCTTGAAGAACCTCAGTCAGATGAGACTTGACTTTCTGTTTGCACAGCTGCCAGTAAACAGTGTTTGGTGGCTACAAACCTTTATCTCAGCCCTTTCAGTGGAATTCATAGCTTTGCCTGTTCTTTGTAGAAAACATCTGTAGTTCACAGGTGACGGAGGGTATTTTTCAGATCAGTTTTCATCTTTTGTGCTTCCAGTGGAAGATCATTTAAAAGGTGCAGGTCAGTTTCAGGATAATATTCCCTTTCTGTTTGCTGCGTAATTGCCTATTAAGACAGAAAAGCCTACTGATTTTCCCCCTTGTTAGTAGTTTTGGTGTTATTAAGAATTTTTTAAGGTTGTGTGGCTGGGTTGTTAAGAAAAGTTATTAAGAACTTTTCAAGGTTGTGTGACTGGGTTGGTGTCCCAGTCGCTCCACTGGAAGTCTTGCCTGGTCACAGGAGATGGCTGGTTCAGTCTGTGTATCCTGTATTGCTTGGAGTCTTAGCTGGGGTCATCCTTGTAGATTCCTGGGAGTTTCCCTTGCACTAGGTTTCTACCTCACCCTGAATTGCTCTCATACAACCTTTGACCTACAGTCTGTCCTACTCATGGGATGTGCTGGGGCAAGGATGGCACAGAGATTGTGGGAATGGCCAACCAATGACTCGTACAGCCTTAGACCCATACCATGAAAGTATTCCCACCACTGACACTGCCTAGAGTGCCAGGACCTAGAGGCTGTCTGACCCAGAGACCTAGGATAGAACCAAACACGACTGGAGAAAAAAATGTCAGCGTAATGATGCCTAATGATATTCTGCTATACTCATAGATTGGTGCCTAGTCCAGTTGACATCAGAGAGGCTTCATCTAACAATTGATGGAAACAGATGCACAGACCCACAGCCAAGCATTAGGCCAAGCTTAGGGAATCCTGCTGAAGAAAGGGATGAAGGATTGTAGGAGCCAGAGGGGTCAAGAACACCACAAAGAAAAACAAAAAGAAATAAAGAAAAAACAAAAAACCACCCCACATAATCAACTAACCTGGGCTCATAGGAACTCACAGACTTAATTGACAACCAGGGAGCCTGCATGGGACTGGTCTAGCCTCTCTGCATATATGTGACAGTTGTGTAACTTGGAAGCAGGGAGGGGCTGTCTTTGACTCTTTTGTTGCCTTTTGGGACTCTATTCCTTGTATTGGGTTGCCTCGCCCAGCCTTAATACAAGGGGAGGTGCTTATTACTGCAACTTGATAACGCCTTGTTTTGTTGCTATCCATGGGAGGCCTGCCCTTTTCCAAATAGAAATGGAGCCGGAGATGATTTGGGGGGCGGGGGAGGAAGGGAGGTGGGAGGAGGGACTGGGAGGAGAGGAGGGAGGGGAAACTGCAATTGGGATGTAAAAATAGATAAATAAGAAAGAAAAAAAAAACTTCAAAAGATACCAGGATGTCAAAAACACGGTTAAACCCTTCTGAAGAGAAGATCTAGAATGGGACGAGGCGTATGTATTAATGTTCCCTGGAATTTGAATCCTTCTCATATACTCTGATATACACCTTCCATAAACAGTTTGACTTTTATTCCGGTTGAAACTAAAATAGGTATTTTTCCCCAAGGGAAGGAACTCAGAAGATAAACAAGTTGTTCCTGGTCTCCCAGCTGGGAAAACAGACATGGAATTATGAATTGAACTTGATGTAGTTTGTCCTTGACTGTAGTGGTGGTTCTCAGGTACAGTCCCTGGACCAGAAGCATCACTACCACCTATACCTTGTTAGGAATGCATCTTCTGGGTCTTGCTCAGATCTGCTGGTTCAGAAGTGCTGAGGACTCAGTACAGTGACTTGTGCTTTGTAAATCCTGCTGTTGCTTACTAGTAAGCAGTGAGAACAATGGACTGAAGGATTCTTGTTTCCTTATCTTTTAAAGCTGTCAAACTCCTTGCTAAAATTTAGCTTTTTGTTGAAGCCACAGCCCCTGTATTTGAAGTTGGGGGGCCTGCTGTGCTGTCCTGTCTTCAGCTCTGAAGGTGTTTGGTTTGACACTTGTTACACCATACTGCTACCTCGTGCAGTGGGATGTGGTACAGTGTGGGCATGAGTGACTGCCTCCTCAGTCAGAACATTAGTGAAAGGAATTTGTGGGGGTAGGGTTTGGGAATTGTTTGGATATTTTGGGGCCCAAAATTTTACTACTTTTAATGATAATGTATAGTCCTTTCTGTATATATTGCTTGCATTTAGCCATCAAAAATATAAATTCTACCTGGATTGTGTTCATATATGTAAGCTCTGTTACTTCTCGATCAATTTATTTATGCCCTACACTTTGGACTTTGATCAACAAGCAGGTATTTTTTTTTTTTTTAAGTTGGGATCTTGTGTTGTCCTCTAACTTTCTCTGAAGTTGAGGATGGCTTCTTACTTCTATCTCAGGAGTGCCGCTATTCCAAGTGTGTACCAGCATGTGGCTCTAGAGATTGAACCCGAGGCTTCCTACCAATGAAGCTATATCCCCAGCCAATAAAGCAGGTACTTTTGAAACTGAGTAAGTCAGTTGGTTTCTGGAGACAGTGTGAACTTCAGTTCTTGTTTGGACCTGTGCTCATCTTGTTTCTAGTCTTCTGTCTGTAATACGCCTTCTTCACATGCATAAAATGGAACTGTGTTTCTGCCCTGTGAAGTCAGTGATTATTAACTTTGACTGCATGTTAGACTCAACATGGAGAATTTTTAAAAATAAGTATGTTTTGGCTCCACTTAAGACCTAATTGTTTATGCTCTCTGGAGATGGTGACTGCATAGTTATGTTTACAAAAACCATAAAAGGCCCGAATTTTGGCTCATTTCTATGGATGCAGTAGAGTATGGCAGACCTCATAGGCTTAAACAGCAAACATTTATTTCTCTAGGTTCTGGAGATGTGAGGAACCCTGCCCGGAGGTGGTGCATAATGTAGTTCCAGGAGAGGGCTTCCTCTGTTCATCTCCTCACATGGTGGGGAAGGGAGAGGCGTTCCTGTCTCTCTTTGTCAGGCAGTAAACCTACCTTGAAGACATTATTCTCAGAACCCATTTAACTTCCTAAAGGGACTCTCTAAATTCCTTCACTTTAAGGGATTGGGACTTTAATGTGAGTGTTAGGGGCACAGTTTAGTCCATAGCAACTTCTGTACAATTCTGATGTGTCAGATTAGAAACTGGTATGTAGTGCTTACCATTTAAAAAAAAAAAGAAATTAAATCTTGTACTCCTTGTAAAATGAAATTCTGGCTTCAGTGGAACTCTGAACGAGTTATATAATGCATATAAAACTGACATTTAATTATTTATACACTCTAAATATTTGAAAGGTTCTGCAGTTTTTGATATGTGTGCTTGTGTGTGTTTGTGTTTTACTTGACTCTTCTCTTGAATTAATTTCCTCTGTAGGATATAGATCATGGAAGGAGCAGTTGTACCTGTGGGCTTTTGTTTGTAAAAAGCTTGTTTGTTACATGAGTTAGTGGTCCAAAATGTAGTATGGAAGGCTCTGAGGAGGAGATTTAAATTGAAGCTCACGTGCCTTCCCCACACCTCACTGGAGTTAAAACCAGAGTCTCAGCTGCAAGGCAGGCTCTACCGCTGAGCTACCTTCCAGCCATTAGGATACATTTAAGACTAAATAGGAGATAAACGTGCTTGACAGTTGAGGTCATAAGACAGTGACTTCTTTAAACAGAGTGTAGCAGTCACGATAGCTCTTAAGATGCATTTTTTTGTTTGTTTGTTTTGTTTTGTTTTTCGAGACAGGTTTTCTTTGTGTAGCCTTGGCTATTCTGGAACTCACTTTGTAGACCAGACTGGCCTTGAACTCAGAGATTTGCCTGCCTGTGCATTCCGAATGCTGGGATTAAAGGCATGCACCACACCACCTCCTGGCTTGAATTTGATCTTTTTATATTTTGTAATTTTCAAAATTAAACCCCAATTTATTCCAGCACAGTAAATATGTTAGAATGTAATTTTGAATAGCATGTGTCTACCTACCAAGTTTTTGGGGTGAAGTAAGGCAAATGCTCAGAAGAACAAACTTAAAAACTGAAAATAAAATTTCTCAGATTAAGACAGAGGTTTTCCAGAAAGTTCCTGGACTGACTGGAAGATCATAAGGTATTAAAACTGTGTGTCCTGGACTCAGTTTGTGTTAATATATGGGATAATGAGATCATTTTCACCGGTATGGTTAGTTTCTGTCCTTTATGTAGACAAAATCAGCATTACCAAATACACTACTCTATCTTTTAAGATCTGCTTCTTGTGGGGTGGAGTGTCACATGCTTTTAATCCCAGCATTTGGGAGGCAGAGGCAAGAGGATCTCTTGAGTTCAAGCTAGCCTGGTAGAGAGACTGACTCTCTCTCTCTCTCTCTCTCTCTCTCTCTCTCTCTCTCTCCCCCCTTCCCTCCCTCCCCTCTCCACACACACACACACACACACACACACACACACACACACACACACACACACACAGTCACACACAATCTGCCCCTTAGACTAGGCTGAAACCAGGATTTCCCAGGAATGTTAACAGTATGCATCCATGCATGGATAAGCAGCTGATTGGATGTTCAGACTCACAAAACAAGCTTGTGCACCATGGAGATCAACTTCCAACTCAAATTTATTTTATGCCTCTATGTCTTATCTGTCCGTTCCCAGTTTCTTATCATGCAAAACCTTGTAAATACTGGAATGTACTTGTACCTGAGGCTGATTACTCAGTATTTCTGTCAATGAAATAAAGAGACTGGAACCATTAAACAGGTGTGTATGGTGGATATAAAAACACAAGTATGTACAGATTTTGCCAGAACCTTATGCATCTACTCCTTGAAGGCTGCTTACTTTCCAGATCAGGTTGTTTTGCCCATCACCCTGTTATTGATCCCTAAAGCAGGGTGAGCATTTCTGCTTTTGTACCTGGGTCTTCAGAATGAGTGTGGAAAGTAGATCTGATTGAAAACAGATGGAGTAAGCTTACACTGAGAGTCAGTTTCGGGTTGTAAGATGCTGTCTTTAAGATTGATTTTTGACATTTTTTTAAACAGAGAAAGCAGCATTCTCTTGGAGGAGGAAGATGGGGCCTGAGTAGAAGTTACTGTGATAGCACCTGAAATTTGATAGGTTGCCCAAGAGAGAAGCAGGCACTCAGGTCACCGAAGGACAGTTAGCTACTGTCTGAGGCACACAGTTCACGTGTGTGTTGTAAAACAAAAGCAGGAAGCTCTTTCAGTTCTTCCTAACATGAGTCTAATTCTTAAGAAACTCGTGGCTGCCTTCTCTATCTCCACAAAGTGTGAGCACCTCTGCACTCAGGATGCTGCCTCTTCATGGTCATCAGTGGGACCGTTGCTCTCCTTCCTCAGCGGATTTCCCCAAGTGGTTCCTTCTTTGGGGTGGCGTCTGTTTTATGTTCTGTTTCTGTCTTAGTGGTGCCTCTGTTCAGCAGTTAGGGTAAGGCTTCTGGAGACAGTTCCCTCCAATGGGCAGCCTCTGTTCCTTCATGGAGGTCCCTCAGGCCTTGTTGCTCATTGTCTCCTTGTTTCCCGATAAGCGTCTGTTGCTCTTTGCCTCACTGAGTGCTCACTGGGGTGATGGCAGTAAACTCCATCCAGCATTCGGGGCCGGGCTTGGATGGTTTGCTTTCTCGTTGTTTAGTTCTTCACTTGGGAACACACTTTGAGACAGTAGATGTGGTTACAGTTGGAGAGTCTCAAAACAGCCTGAGAGAGTTGTCGTCACACCCCTGACTGTCTCATCCCTTATAAAGTGAAGTCTTACTTCCTGAGATCTTCAGCTCCTTTGGGCCAATGGAATGCCCTCAAAGGGTTTTGTGTAAGAGTGCTTATAAAAATGCAGACCCTTTATAGGTACCATTTGCCATAAGATTACTTGAAAATTTTGAATAAGGCTCTTATACTGTGTATTGAGTGTTAGTTAGCCATTTTTAATAACTTTGTTTTTTTCCTGTTGGGGGCCTAACCCAGAGTCTTAAGCATGTTAAGCATATAGCATATACTCTACCACTGAGCTATACTTTCAGCCAGTAGCTTAATGATAGAATATATATTTTAATTGGAACATTATTATAAGTTTAACTTATTTTGAAAATTAAGTTGTGTATAGACATGTATGAGCTGATGATACAAGTGAATGAATACATATAATAATTGAATAGTTCCTGTGCTTTCTTTGTGTGTGCATTCATGTGTGGGGGTGCATGATGTTTGGAGGGCAGAGACCTGCCTTGGGTACAGTCTGCGTTGGCTTTTGAGGCAGGGTGTCTCACTGGTTAGACTAGGATGACTGGCTTGAGGAATCTGCCTTTCCACCTCCCTGGTTCTTGGATTCTAAGTTGTGCACTGCTTCCCCCAGCTTTTCTGTGGGTTCTGAGGACTGAACTCAGGTCCTTAAGCTTATAAGCAAGCAATGTGCTAAGCTGTTTCTCCAGCCTGCTGTCGTATGGTTTCTTGATGCTGGTGGATCACATGTTACAGAAGTTGAATTCAGCGGCGATAGTCAACTCCTGTTTCTATTTTATATACAAATAAACTAAGGTTCAAGAATTTTAGAAATTAATCTCACTGTTATGTTTAATTAATTTAACATAAATTAATTAATTAATTTAGAAATTAATCTCATTGTTATGTTAAATACAATTGATCTTTAAAATTTTTGTGTGATCTTACAAGGTAAAGTATAATAGGTTTGGTTCTCATTACATTTTCTCCATATTTACCTTGAGATGGTTCAGTAAAGGCCTGTGTTAGTTTGTTTCATGAATTTGAAAGTAGGGCATTTCAGTGGTTCTAGGAAATTCTCAAATTTAGTCTAAGTTTTTTAGTTTTATGAAAATACTATGCTGCAAAATAATTTCAAGGCTTTTCATAAGAGTAAGTCAATCTATAATTTCCTCAGAATTTTGTCACTAACATTTCTATATTAGAAATGAAAAATGTTGCTACTATTTGCTTTAAGTTATTTAAACATTCAGTAATGCCTTTTTAATAACTGAGATTAGGGAATATGTATTCCTCTCTAGAAGTATGATTATGATGATGGAATACTCTTAGCTGCTTATTGCTCTTTGCGTTTGTTTGTATTAAATCAAAAGGATTTTATACACACATGGTAGTGCAGTGTATAGACACTAGTAGTAATAGAATTGTCCATTATTTTTTTTATCTCATTTGTTGTTTTAAAGAATAGTTACTTAGAAATTTTAGGAAATAATTTTGTCCTGAAAATATTGATAATTTCAGCGTAGAAACCCATGTCTTAGCAGGAACAGAGGTGTTTTAGTTTCAGTGGTGTTTCACCAGGTGGCTCGGCTGTTTGGCAATGGATGCTTTTCTCAGTTTAAGTAGTAAGGCGCCTGTAGCTCCTCTTTCCCTCCTTCTGGTCTGTGTCTGTAAGGATCTCCCTTTAGGACCAAGGCAGATCTGAACTGGATATTTGTTTCTAGAATCGGGAGGACCACTGTTGATACTTGGTTATGTAATTGCAGCCTTCATTGTTGCTGCCGTTTCTGTGACTGACTCTGTGTTCCTGATCCACTAGCCAACCTGTGCTGCTTCTGCTTGTCTGGTCTCTGAGCTTCTCAGTTTTCTCCTGGTTTGAGGAGACTTTTAAAGTCTTGCATGCTGTTGCGGCGTGTGGAAGGGTAGCCAGGTGTCCTGAAGAGGGAGGTGAGCACGGGAGAACTAAAGTGGAGAAAGCTTAGCAGTTCTTGTTCCTCGAATTAAACATAATGAGTTTATAGGATTATGATTGTGCATAGTCATCAGAATCTGCCAGGAAAGACATCTGTTTTATTTTTCAATCTTATGTTGATGGAGAAGTAATATCTTTATATATGTAATGTGAAGATTTTGTATTATACCTTGTGTTAACAGGTATCCAAAGTTTTAAAGTTTGCTTTCAAGAAACTGTTAGTATCAAGTTGTCTTAGATACTCATTATTAATCTGAGTATACTTTCCTAAGTGGAAAATAAGTTACTGTGAATATTAGGATTTTCATTTATTACTCTGGACTACATTCTAGTTGTTTAGTATGTTCAAGTAATTTTCCTTTGTTTTTATTCCTAGGTTGCACGTTTTCAAAAAATACCTAATGGTGAAAATGAGACAATGATTCCTGTATTGACATCAAAGAAAGCAAGTGAATTACCAGTCAGTGAGGTTGCAGGCATTCTCCAAGTAAGTGGCTGGTGAGGAGGAGGTGGAAGGTGTAAAGCAGCCATTTAGATGAAGTCAGTGCTGACCTATTGCATTTTCTTCACAGATAGAAGGACTGACTGGTCTGTGCTGTCTGACAGAATAGCCCCCAGTTACATGACGACATGACAGGAAATGTGGCTAGAGTAGTGGAGCAACTGTGTTTAATTTAAGTAACTGCGTGTGGTGGCTGGGCAGTACAGCTCAGGAGGAGTAGTATGGCCAGCATCTGTTTGCACTGCTTATCAGTGGGAAAGTAATTAATTTAACTAGTAACATAAGTGGTGTTAGGATTTTTTGTTTGTTTGTTTTCCCAAGACAAGGTTTCTCTGTGTAACCCTGGCTGTCCTGAAACTCACTTTGTAGACCATGCTGGCCTCAAACTCACAGAGATTTGATTGCCTCTGCCTCTCTAGTGCTGAGATTAAAGGTTTTTGCCACCATGCCCAGCAGGATTTTTTTTTTTTTATTTTTAAATAGATTTTTTTAAGGTAAAGTGAAAGCTAAGTACAAGTGTGGGTTTGCAGATGAGTATTAATTGTGTAATTTTATTCTCTTCCTAATTTTAAAAAGTACTGTGAAGTCAAACATGAAAAGAGAATTTTTATTCAGCCATTTTAATTGTTGTTTCAAAAACACTGGTATCCATTTTTGAGGGATTTTTATTTTGGTATATTTATACTTAGTTCTAAAACCACTTATTTTAAATATATTTAAGTTTTAGAAAACTTGGTTACTGAACTCTTGCCAATTTTGCTGGCGAGGGGAATTAGCAGTTTCTGAGATGTTGTAATTTCATCTCCCCCCCACCCCCCCAGCTGAGGCCTGAACCCAGGACCTTGTACTTACTAGGCAAGCGCTCTAACACTGAACTAAATCTCCAACCCCATAGTTTCATTTTTTATGATTGTTAAAATCATGATAGTAACTGAAGGACTTAGATGATATTGCCATGTCCCAAGAAAAAAATTGTTAACTGTGTTGTTTTGAGTAATTTAAGACACCCAAGTTTTCATTCTGATATAATAACATAATCTTGGAGCAAAAAAAAAAAAAATCTCGGTGGTTTAATAAACTCAGAACAGGAAGGGCATTTGTAGCCCACTGAATATTCTTTTGGAGACACTAATTTTAGAAAAAAAAATTAAAAACCAATTAAAATACATATGAATTATGGTTTCCTTTTATTTTTCTTTTTCTTCATAGTAAAAGAAAAACACTATCTTGTTGCTTATTGAGTATTTATAGTATTTAGTATTTATATAATATCAGTGTACTTTAAAAAGTTAATCTTTGAGAATTTCATGCATGGGTATAACATATTCTGGTTACACTCACCCTCTACCCTCTCTTATTCACCAACCTCAGTCTTCTTCCGCCAAATTCCACCCCACTTCTATGCCTTTTGTTTTTCTTTGTGGCCCACGTGGTTTATCTAGGACTAGTTGGGCCTGAGTGTTGCTATACAAGAGCATGGATAACAACTCACCAGTGGCAGCCTCACTGACAACAGTGACTTTTCTGTCAACTCCTGACTGCCCTTAGCTCCCTGGGTAGGGTGGTGCTCCATGAATCCCCACCCTGATTCGTGACTGCGTATTTACTGACTCAGGGTTGCACAATGCAACCGTAGTGTAACGGTGTTGTAAGTGTGAGTCACCATGCCTGCTAAAATACAGAACATTTTTAGTGTTCCAGAAAGCTTTTCCATGTCCCTTTATATTAATCTTGTCTGAATATTATGGCTGCAGGTCCCATATAAAACCTCTGGGAGACGTTCTGTGATTAGTAGGAGCTGGAGAGATAGCTCAGTGGTTAAGGTCACACACTTCCTGTGCTTGCAGAGGACCAGGTTCAGCTCCCAGTACTCCCACTCAGTGACCCCCTATGTATGTGACTCCAGTTCAGGGGATCTAGTGTCCTCTTCTGGCCTCTACAGGCAGTGTAAGCATGTGTTACATAAAACAGGCAGACTATTTATATACATTAAAAAGAAGCTTCTTTTAATGTGGTCATATACTATGTATTCTTTTGTGTTTTGTTTACTGTCTGCTAACATTTTGAATAACTTTTAATGTAAAATTTAATAGGCTGATCTTCAGAATGGCTTAAACAAATCTGAAGTTAGTCATAGGCGAGCCTTCCATGGCTGGAATGAGTTTGATATTAGTGAAGATGAGCCGCTATGGAAGAAGTATATTTCTCAGGTGAGACACTTTCCCTCCATCTCTGCTGTGTAACTGACTTTCATAGTTGTGAATTTCCTGAGATTGACCTACAGAGAAAAGAAATCATTTTTACAATGGGTTTTCCCTAAAAATTTACATGTAAAGTTGGAATTTCTATAGTTCTGACTCTTCATTTGATTTTGGCAAAAGACTGATGAAAAGTGAGTGTAACTTAGAGGGCAGCATTTTCTGTGTTCTGGGTTGTCAGCAAACACTAGACAGTAGGCTTTTTGTGGATGCTGACCTTAGGCTTCCTAGTTATGGGAGGGTGGTATATTTGCAGGGAGTCTTGGCCAGCTTAGAAAATGATTAAATGCATAATTAAATCCTAACTACCAGGGTATAAGTTATACCTTTCTTATCAACTCTGTGATTTCCGTCGGCCTCCATTGGTGATGACCTCAGGAAATAGTAAGCTCAGAGTAGATTATGGCCATTCATAATTACCTTTAATTTTTAGCAAAGGCTTACTATAATTAATTCTAATTCTTTATAGCGATTTTGGTGTTGTTTTTGGAGACAGGGTTTCTCTGTGTAGCCTCAGCTGCCTTGGAACTTGCTCTGTAGACTAGGCTGGCCTCCAACTCATAGATCCGCCTGCCTCTGCCTCTCGAGTGCTAGAATTAAAGGTATATGCCAACACCCAGGTTAGCAAATTCTTTATTGTAAATATTGATATTTAATTTTCTTTTTCTGAAAAGGAACTGTTACAGCTTTTAAGTATGAGCACTACTTTTTTGTTGCTTGAAAATAAAGCACATATAGACTCTTGTAATTTCATAATGATGTCCTTTTTTGAAAAAGCCTTTATTGAGATAAAGCGGAATTGTCCTTCATATAAGAATGTTGTTTGTTTTAACTTCCAGTTTAAAAATCCCCTTATTATGCTGCTTCTGGCTTCTGCAGTCATCAGTATTTTAATGCATCAGTTTGATGATGCTGTCAGTATCACTGTGGTAAGTAAACTCTTTTATTTTTTAAATTTTAAATCTCTTGGTTAATTGTATCAGTTGGGTTTGGGTTTACTTTGGAAATTAAAGTGAATCAAAATGAATCAGATTTAAAAATAATTATCTAGCTGTAGTAATTTTCTTTTGTTCTGGTCTGAGCTGGAGGTCTTCCTGTGTTCCTCAGGCTTGCCCTCCGGGGCTCAGCTGTGCTGGTGTGTCAGCTTCCCCGGTAGCTGGGATTACAGGCGTGTACAGTCAGCCTCACAGATAAAAAATAGTTGATTTTCTAGTCCAACAAAAATTCCTGTTGCTTTTCAGTTGAAAATATTTTGACTAACAATAATTGTTCAAGAAATATGTGATATCAAAACTATTTTAACAACACTGACTTTTTCTTGTTTCTGTATGCTTTTTGTGTTAATGGCAAATGTTATGATGTATAGGCTGTTAAAGCTTTAGCATAATTGGAAGTGCCCTTAAGCTGTATCAATAGTCATTGTTGTCTTTTGTTGTCCTGTTTAGACAATTATAGCAGCTGGGTTTGGGAATGCATACCACTAACACTAGCTATGCTGCTTGGGTGGCAGAGGTAGGAGGATGGCAAGTCCCAGGGTATTGTGGGCAACGTAGTGAAGGAGACCCTTCCTCAGATGTCTAGAATGTTCTTGATAGAGGAGTAAAATGAATTTCATAAAATTTTTTCCATGAGTATATATGTTTTTAATAGTCTGTGATAAATGGGAAGCATGTATAGATTGAAATACAGTAACTATCTTAAGGAAGGGCCATTGTGAGGTGAACCAGCCTTTTACTTATAGTTGGAAGTTTTCTTGTTCTGGCTTCCCACTTCCCATTTTGGCAGCTTCCTCCAAATTATCACATAGAGACTTAATATTATATATAAATGCTCAGCAGATAGCTCAGGCTTGTTACTAGCTAACTATTAATTAACCCATATTTCTATTTATGCTTTGCCACGTGACTCCTGGCTTGTTACCTCATTTTCTACATGTCCTGATTGCTCGGTGGCTGGCTAGTGTCTCCTCTGACTCCGCCTTCTTCTTCCTAGAGTCCTGTTTCTAGCTGCGCCACCTATACTCCCTGCCTGGTTACCTGCCTGCCAGCTTTTAATTAACCAGTGAGAGTAATACATATTCACAGTGTACAGAAGGATTATTCCACAGCATATACTTAAAAGAATAATGTTGCTAGTGATAAGAATAGACTTTCAAGTAGTAATTAAAGCTACTGTAAATTTTCATGTATTACTATGAATTTTAGATACCTTCCAAGTATTGAAAACTTTTAATGACATTAGTAGTGATTTTAACAATTAATAAATTTAGAAATATGTCAGCATTTATATTTGAATAATTAGATGAACCAATATTTTCCAAATGATTAATGTCTGAGATTATCAAATTTCAGTAGAAAAAAGAGATAGATCAATGGATTCAGTTGAAAAAAGGTAGATAATAGAATTTAATGTGGAAGATTATGAAAAGGTCATTGACACAGTTCTGCATTTTACAATACTTACTTTAGTAATGTTTGTTTACTTTTAGTGTGGTAGATAAAAATGTATTCTGGAAAGGCAAATACTCCTTCCTTTACCAACTTTTTTTTTGGTCTGAGGCTTGTTTTTTTTTTTTTTCTCTCATAGTTTATTAAATAATTCTCATGGTGCTTCTACCCAACAATGTATCGATTGGATTCCAGCTTTCTGTAGAAAAAGTAGGATCAAGGTTAACTCATCAATAGAGAGAGCCCTTGCCTACCATGTGTTTGACAAATCAGCACTGGGGGAATTTGGCCAGTTTTTAAAACAAAACTTTTTTTTTTTTTTTTTTTTTAAGGAAAAGCTATTTGTGTTAACATGTATCGGATTTTTAAATTCTTTCATAAATTAGTGTGCAGAAATTAAAATTAAACAAGTAATTAATGTGTCAACCATAACAGATGTTACCCACATAAATAAAGCTAGTCTTTAATTTGGGAGGGCTTGGGTGGATTCAGAAAGTTTTGGAAGCGATCATGGGGATGGTTAGCCATTTAAATTCATATTCTTCCCTCTCAGGCCCTAAGACAAACTGATTTCTTAGTGCAAAAATCCATTTTCCTGGGACTGCACAGCCAGAGAGACACAATGTGGCTAAAAGTTATTTCTTGTTAATGCCTGATTTAAAAGGCTGTTTGTTTTTTAGGCAATACTTATTGTCGTCACTGTGGCCTTTGTTCAGGTGAGTAATGTGTTTTGCCAGGTTAATAGTGGTGTATTAGTTGATTACTTAAACACAAATTAAAGTGATTTATGGGAAATAATCTGACCTTACTGGGTGGTAGTATATTCCTAATAATTTATTATTGTAAAACAATTTCAGACAATAGCCAGCTGTGGACAGTTGTGAGAAGAGGGCACTGTTTAATTTAGGGAGTGAGGTGAACATAGCTTTTTGTTTTTGATAGAAACAGATGGAAAAAAAAAGCATGGCAATATAAATATAATCCATTAAGTTTAAAAAATTTTTCCAGTTGCCGGGCGGTGGTGGCGCACGCCTTTAATCCCAGCACTCGGGAGGCAGAGGCAGGCGGATCTCTGTGAGTTCGAGGCCAGCCTGGTCTCCAAAGCGAGTACCAGGAAAGGCGCAAAGCTACACAGAGAAACCCTGTCTCGAAAAACCAAAAAAAAAAAAAAAAAATTTTTCCAGTAATTTTTCCTACTCCCATTAGTGCTGAGTCTAGATGAACAAAATAATAGGTGAGTATAAAATTGAGTGGGCAGTTTATCAGATGCCATCTGAAGAAGACTCGGTAGAGTGCTGAGATGGGTTTCTCTTGGTAACAGTGGACTTTTCACTGAATCTGTTTCCCAGCCTTATTAGTCTTGTTTGGTAATTAAAGTTATTTTCTTGGTATTGGTGATCCCTTACTCCCCTTCTAAAGTTTCTTATTTTCCTCAGAAGGGATGATCCTACTTTCTGTTCATTATGAGTCATTCAAACAGCAAAAGAAACAGATAAGAGGTCTCTTTTAAAGACGATTCTGAATAATGTGGAGATGGTGTCATGATTTCTTTCTTTCTCAGCACTCAGGTAGAGGCAGGAGGATTGTCAACTCAAGGCCAACATGGCCTCTTCACTGTGGTTGGTAGATTGAGAGGCATACCTAATAACTTTTATATTTGTAGATTTTGCTTTCATTTGTCCCTCTTGTCTGGGTAGTGACTGATACAGTTCTGAGATACTGTTACATAGAGTATCTCATTTGCATTCTCATTTGAAGCAGGTGATGATGGGTAGACTTGGTGAATGCTAGCTCACATGGCAGGTATTTCAAGACTCTCCTATCTCTTATTCCTGCTTTTGTCCCCCACCTTTAACTTCAGGCCAAAAGATTAGACCCGAGGAGGCCTTGGTGCCGCATGAAACCCACTGCTAAGGGAAGCATAGGCTAAGTAGTGCAGTGCGATGGAGATGTTTCTGACCCCTAGCTCTGGGTCATGTGCATGGGAGGTGAGGTGAGTGCAGAACAGCATCAGGGCCTCTCAGAAGCTTCCCTTTCATATGATTCAGCTGGACAAGAAAAGGGAGTGTCAGTAGTGGCCACATTGTTATTTCCAAGCGAATTTAGTCTACAGACTAGTATAGTTAGTGTGAGCTTATGTCCTCAAAGTAAATATTACATATAGGTAAATAATGACTTCGTTGGCTGCTAAACCCAAATGTAAAATTATCTTAAAAATCAGGCTCAATTATGTTAACTTTATGTACTCTTTGGATGCAGTAATTGGCTTTCATTTTCTTCTAAGCAATCTTAGATTTGCACATTGACTTTTAAAATGTATAATTGGGAGTATTTAATTTTTATAATTGTTTGATTACAGTAATTTAGGGACAAGTTTTTATAGGTTAAGAATATAAAGATAAGTAAATCAAGATATGAATTGGGAGAAAATTTTAAGTAGTAATGATTAATATTTAAGTCTAAAAGGACCATTTGAATTCCTTTGTGTTTTGTTAGTGTTAAATTCTACTTTTTCTCTAAATAGGAATATCGTTCAGAAAAATCTCTAGAAGAATTGAGTAAACTTGTCCCACCAGAATGCCATTGGTATGTTGTTTTATTTGAAAGAGATTTTTACACCTTAAAAAATAGAAACTGAATGGCACTAGCACTGTAAGCATTGTTGTTCCAGCTTCGTTTTAACATAAAGAAGAGACTATTGAACATGACAAGAAAAAATCTGATCAGTATAGCAAACATTGCATTATTGATGGTTTTGCGACAGCTTTGTTCAACAGGCTTTTTTTCTTAATTGTTCGTGTATGTGCATGTTCGTATGTGTGAGTGGGCATGCATGTGCCATGACACACCTGGGACGGTCAGAAAATTACCTGAGGTATTGGCATTCACCTCCCACAGTTTCTGAGGCAGAGTTTGTCTTGTTCGTCACCATGTGTGCTGGCCCTTCCGGGGCTTCTGGGGCTTCTCTTTGTTTCTGTCTTCCTGTAGGAGGGCGGGGATGTAGCTGATGGTACTATGTTCGGTTTGGCTCACTTGTGCTTTAAGTGCTTTACGTGGAGGCTCTTTCTTACGTGTGGAGCAGTGAGTGTATGTTGAACACTCTTCTAAGTAATTGATGAAAGTAGTGTAATGAAATATATCTCAAGATAGCCTCAGTGTGAACATTTGAATAGCTAATCAGGTTTTCCAATAATTTCCCTCTGTTACCTGTATAATCTAATAAGAGCACACAGTATATCAAATGCTTAATTTTTTTTTTTTTAAATTTAAGACAGGTTTACTATGTAGCATTAGCTGGCCTGAAACTTGCTATGTTGACCAGGCTATCTTCAAACTCAGAGATCTGCCTGCTTCTGCCTCCTAAATGCTGGGATTAAAGGAATGTATCATGATCCCTAGCTTTTTTGTTTTGTTTTTAAAGATTAATCTTTAAAAATTATTTTAGATTATTTGTGTGTATGTCTATGTGTGGGTATGTGCATGTAAGTACAGGTGCCTGAGGAGGCAGGAAGTGTTGGATTCTCTGGTGCCGGAGTTCTAGGCAGTTGTGAGCTGCCTGATGTGGGTGCTGGGAGCTACACTTGAGTCCTCAGCAAGAGCAGCATGTGTTTTTAATCACTGAGCCATCTCCCTAGCCTGTGCTCTTAGTTTTTATGTTTGACTTATCTCTTTGGAAGTAACAGTGTTTTTCTTAAGACAGGTTCACTGAAATTAAATGTAATCTTAAAGAGAAATAGTATGGTTTTTCTTACTGTGATGATTTCTGTTTGATGCTACAGTGTGCGTGAAGGAAAATTGGAGCATACGCTTGCCCGAGACTTGGTACCAGGTGACACAGTTTGCCTTTCTGTGGGAGACAGAGTTCCTGCGGACTTACGCTTATTCGAGGTAAGGTGAGGGTACGTGGATATTGATTAATGAAAGGGTTAGCAGTTCTAATGATGAACACATACTTCATTTAAAATATTTAGTATTCTGACTGAATAGTGACAAGTGGAAGCATATTCTCCCTCCCCCTTAATATATGTCTGTTCTGCTGTAATGTCTTTAGAGGTATCCACTTAGTCAGTTAGTATACCTTTGTGACAACCTGACTTAGGTACTGTAGCAGACAGAGATGATAGAATTATGTTGATTAGGGAATCCTGTATTTGTGAACATAGATCAGTATAAGATAGAGCTCAGTAATCAGGTATGAAAAGTTAAAAGATAGAAACTGAGAGAGGAGACATTACTTCTGATGTAGCAGCAGAGAATGCCTCCTCACACAGTGTAGCCCTGGTAATTGAAAAACAGTGTGGGACAGGAAAGGAAAAGAGTATTAACCTCTGTGAGGATACCAGTAGAGGTGCTCCTTGACTCAGGGTGGGATTATGTCTCCAAAGGCCCACTGAGAGTTTAAAATACTATGTCAAAAATAATTGCATGTACCTAACTTACTTGAGGCACATAGTGCTCTGTATTGACTGCTGACTCAATGAGACTGTATGTCTGACTCAGAGCTCTGGCTTACTATACTACCCAGAATCTCATCAGAATATCATACTGCAATCTTAGAAAAGAGCAAAGGAAAAAATGGAAGTATGGTTTCTACTGTATGTGTATTTTACTTTCTCAGTGAGAGGCAGAGTTGCCTAACAGAGCATCCCCCCTCTGGAAATGCATAGAAATCATCTAGGGTCATGGTCTGGGGGCTCCAGATTCTGTGTCTGTAACCAGTTCCTGCCAAAAGTGCCATTTCACCCACCTCAGTACAGATTCATTAAAAACCCATTTTTTCTGTTTTTGAGACAGGTTCTTTTGAAATAGGTTCTTAAAATATAGATCTGCTTGGCCCTCTCTTTCCTCTGCATATCATGGGTTTGAAGCCACCATACTTGGCCTGAATACTTTTAGAGATATGATTCACATATGATAAGATACGCATAAGTGAAAGCTAACATTTAGTGGTTTTCAGTCTATTCAGAGCTGTGTTCCCATTATCACAGTCTAATTATAAAGTTTCATCACTTTCCAAAGAAAACTCCTTATCTTTTAGCATTCACTGTGTTCTTAACACTGATAGCCACTAATTTTTTGACACTAAAGTATGTTTGCTTATTCTACTAGACATTTTATTAATTTAAAGGGGTTGTATAATATGTAGGTTTTTTTTTTTTTTTGTCTGTCTGTTTCACTTAACATATTTCAGGTACTTCATTTAGTACTTTATGACTTCTTATTGCCATATAATTTTCTGTTTTATGGATATACACATAATAAGTTTGATCCACTTCTGTTTAAAGCGTTGCTTGTAGGGAAGGGCTTCTGCTCTCTTAGTGTTCATGTTACTGCAGTCCTGTTATCTGTGGGAACGTTTCCAGACCCCTCCACTCATGACTTCTTTTTGCCTGAGAAAATTTTTGTGGCTTCAAATGTAGTTATATAAAATATGTCTGCAAATGAAGCATTAGCAGATAATAAATCACAAAACAACAGTTCTTCAATATGCATATAATTTAACATTTATTGAAGGGAAAACAACTTTACCAATGTGATGGAGATACTTTTTAATTTTTACATAAAGAATTAAATTTTGGACTGGAGAGATGGTTTAGTGGGTAAGAGCACTTGCTTCTCTTGCAGAGAACTGAGTTTGATTCCCAGCAAGAACATGTTGGCTCACAGCCATCATTAACTCCAATTTCTGGGAATCCAGTGCTTTCTTGTGGCCTCTGTGAGCACCAGCTCATGAATGTGTACACACACACACACACACACACACACACACACACACACACACACATACACACACAGACACACACACACACATAGACACACACACACAAAACACACACACACGGGGCAGGGTGGGGGTGTGGGCATTTATTAGAATGGCTTACAGGCTGTGGTCTAGCTTGTCCAACAATGGCTGTCTACCAGTGGAAGGTCTAAGAGTCCAGTAGTTGTTCAGTCCCCAAGGCTGGATGTCTCAGCTGGTCTTCAGTATACACTGGAATCCCAAAGAAGTATGCTGTAATGCCAGTGAAGGAATGGACTTGTGAGCAGGAGACACAGCAGGCAGTGAGAGAGGACAAGCTTCATTCTTTCATGTTCTTTCTATAGACTGCCAGCAGAAGGTGTGGCCCAGATTAAAGGTGGCTCTTCCCACCTCAAAAAATCTGGATTAGAAGTAGGTCTTCCCACTTCAAATGATTTAATAAAGAAAAAAAAACCCTCACAGGTGTGTCCAGCAATTTGGTTTTAGTTAATTCTAGATGTTGTTAAGCTGACAACTAAGCCATCCCACCCCTGTTACATTCTTACGGGTCATCCCAAGAAATTTTGGTTCTAGAGGGGTAAGTACTCCTGCTGGGAGCCACCACAAACATTCCATTGAACTGGAAGCTCAGACTTCTCCCTGGTAGGAACAGGAAGCAAAAATTTTCCTAGTAGGTGATAGTGAGTGGAAGTATTCCTTTTTCACCCCTTGATTTCTGGACCTGTGGATCCTGGCTATGGGAGAAACCATACCATGTATTGGATGCTGATTCATAGCATGTGCTACCTGCCTCCAGGAGAACCCTACCCTCAGCCCTATAGGCTGTTGCCACCTAGTTGACACTGTAACTGTGTCTTAAAAAGGCCGTCTGTCTTTCTTTCAGTCCAGCTGCTTTAGGATGGCATGATACATGGTAAGACAGGTGGATTCCATGATCTCACATTTCTCTGGCCGAGAAGTGAGATCCTTGGTAAGAAGCAATGCTATGTGGAATACTGTATTGTGGTAGATCAGGCATTCTCTAAGTTCCCGTATGGTGGTTTTGGCAGATGCATTAGGTACAGGAAAGGCAAATTCATAACCAGAATAAATATCTAGTCCAGTAAGGACAAAGTGCTGTTGTTTCCAGGGAAGAAGTGGTCCAGTGTAGTCAAGTTGACAACCAAGAATAGCCATCACAGCATACATGCAGGCAAACATTGATAAAAACAAATAAATCTTTTTAGAAAAATTATAAATCCTGCCTGAGCAGTTGATATTGCAAGATGAACATTTTTCAGAATTGATAAATATTTTTATTTTATAATCATTAATGCTGAGAATGCCACTTTGCATAAACATATAACACAAGGAGTATGTTTAAGGTTATTTCTGAAATTATTGAAAAATTTGCCCTAATCTCAAGCCAAAATTTATCAAACAATTTTTGTGAAACTCATGTCAACAATTCACATAGTAATGTTTAAATTCAAACATTCTAATATACAACCCAAACCTATACCGATTTGATACTTACTTGTTAAGGAATATTGTCAGAAAATATTTTTCATCATTAGTAACTATTATGTTTATGTAACAGCAAAAACCTTTCTATGTACAATAAAAGCCTTCCAATTCATAAAATACTTAGGCAGTATGTGGGGTGACCGTATGCAAAGTGCATGTTGTATGTTCAGAACCAGGCAGCAATGAAGTTGCTCAGTTCAGCATGGGTGAGTCCTGGCAGAAAAAAACTCAGATTCATTATGCATTTGGTGTTGAATGTTTTTATGGTTATTGAATGTTCAGAAATCTTTCACTGTTGTCAAGTTTTTTATGACCCCTTAATATTAATGTGATCTCAACCTATGCTATGACCGTAGTTTAAGAAGTGTGCTCCTTGGGGCTGAGGAAGTGGTTGAGTGGGTTAGAGTACTATAAGCAAGAAGACCTGAATTTGAATCTCTTGGATCCATGGTAAAACATATCTGGAACCCCAGAATTATGGTAGAAACAGGCAGATCTGGGTGCTTGCTGGACAGCTAGTGTGGATACATGGTCTTAGTTTATTTTCCTGTGGTTATGATAAAATACTCAGACAAAAACCAACTTAGCTCACAGTTCACTGTTATAGTCTATTATGGCAGGCAAGTCAAGCTCTCAGGAGCTTGGAGCAGCTGACTGCATTATGACAGAAAAGGGCAGTGAGGGTATGCATGCTAGTACTCAGCTTGATTTGATTTCTACAGTCTTAGACTGTCCTGAATCCTCTGCCTAGGGAGTGGTGCCACCTGTAGTGGGTAGGTCTTCCCACCTCAGTTAATGTAATCAAGGTTATACCCTATGGCAGTGGTTTTCAACCTTCCTAATGCTGTGATCCTTTATTATAATTCCTCATGTTGTAGTGATCCCCAACCATAAAGTTATTTTGTTGCTACTTCATAACTAATTTTGCTACTGTTATGAATCATAAAGTAAATATCTGATAGTATAGGGTATCTGATACACAATCCCCAAAGGGATCATGACTTAGAGGTTGAGAACCACTGCACTACAGACATGCTTAGAAACCCATCTCTTGAGTGAGTCTAGATTCTGTCAGGTTGAGAACATTAAGCATCACAGTGAGCTTTTAGGTTTAGTGAGAAACTTTCCTCAAAAATAGGGTGGAAAATACATTCCATCTCCAAGCTAGGAAATAAGCCTAGCGGTTTTCTGAGAACCAAACTCCAGTCTCCAGTTAAGAGCAGCAAGTCCTCTTAACTTCTGAGCTATCTCTCTAAACTCCTTTTGTGGACTTTGATAAGAACTGGACTGTTAATATTTTTGTGACTCTATTATAAGTGATAGAACTTGCTTTTCCTACTGTTTTCAAGATTGTTTTGTCATCTGCCTGCCCAGCATTTTTTGATAATTGTCTCATTGTAGATTGATTGAGCTTCTTGATTATGTAGATTTGTGGTTTGCATCGAGTTTGGGAAGTTGCTGGCCCTTATGTATATGGTCAGATATTTGCTCTGCCTGTCTTTGCTTGTTTTCTGCCTGTAACGTGTTGTTTTCCTTGATAGTGTCTCACACACAGATCCTTCATCTCTGTTTTTTTTTCTTACTACATTTTTCATTCTGCTCTTTAGACTAGTGATTTTTAAGCATTTATTTTATTTTTATTTAAAATTTGTATTGTTATCTTATTTGTATGTGTATTTTGCCTCCGTGTATGTTTGACTACCAGGTAGTGCCCATGGGGGTCAGAAGAGGGCGTCTGACCCTCTGGTACTGAAGGGTATGATAGATGTGTGCCTTCAAATGGATGCTCGGAAATGAGCCTGGGTCCTTTGGAAGAATAACCAGTGCTCTTAACTACTGAGCCACCTCTCCAGCCCCCAAGCCATATTTCTTAAGTATGTTTTTGTGGTGTGGTGTCGGCTTCTCCCTGGGGATGGCAGAGAGTAGGTATGTTTTCAAAGATCACTTAGCAAAAGTGCAGGGACCCTTTTCTTCATTAAGCACTTGAGTTAGAAAGTCAGCAGTTTATAGACAGGGCTAAAGTCAACTTCAAATGTCCTTAAAGTGTGTGTGTGTGTGTGTGTGTGTGTGTGTGTGTGTGTGTGTGTGTCCATGTTTTTGCCAGTGGAGGCGGGAGATCCACCTTGGATGTCATTCCTCAGATGCTGTCCACCTTGTTTTTTCAGACAGAGCATCTCACTGGATCCCGAGGCTCCAGATTAGTCTATGGTGGCTGGCCAGTGTGCCCTAGGCTCCTGCCTGCACTCCCCCAACACTGGGACTGCAAGCCCCTGCCCCCATGCCTGACTTCATGTGTGGTTTCTGGGACTTCAGATCCTCCCAGGGCAAGGGTGGGGGAGGAGGCTTTGCCATTCCCATGGGGCTGAGGCTGTCATCCTTGACATGGCCTTGTCGGCAACACTCATCCATTCAGTACTGCATTCACGCGGGGCTTCCTCTGCTCCCCATACTTGGGAAATATTGTTTGTGGATTCTGCTTTTAGAAACTTATCCAGGTCACATAAGTAGCATTTTTCTCACCTAAAATGGCATTTTCTGTGCTTAGAAAGGTGAATACTTTGAAACATGGCAAAACTAAGCAATAATGTTTTGTTAGGAAAATTGGGTTCTTAGCTGTAGTTTCCCCTGGTGTCTCCATTTCCTTAGTTGTGTTTAGAATTTTAGACTAACCCATTCTTCCGTTACGCATTCTTTGTTGCATGTGTCATGTTTTGTTGACTTCATTTAATATGTATGTTTATACTGATCTAGTCTTTTGTCATAAAGTAATGGATGTAAAACAAGATGTAGCAAATGGCTGAATGTGAATACTGGAAGAAGTGTTGTGGTCACGAACTCTTGAAATGTGAAAGGTACTATAAGTTTAAATTTATGGAACACTTGTTTTCCAAGGCTGTGGATCTTTCCATTGATGAGTCCAGCTTGACAGGCGAGACAACTCCTTGTTCTAAGGTGACAGCTCCTCAAGCAGCCGCTGCTAATGGAGATCTTGCATCCAGAAGTAACATTGCCTTCATGGGAACGCTGGTCAGATGTGGCAAAGCAAAGGTGATTATGATTTTTCTCTTGAAAAAAACCAGTTTCTTCATTAAAAAAAATTTTTTTCTATTCTTTAAAAACTTTTAAAATCTATCTGTGTGTATATGTATATGCATGTATAGGCAATTGGGCACCATGGCATGTACCCGGAGGTCAGGACAACTTTGTGTGGAATCGCTTGTCTCTAGCTCTGTGTAGCTGCGAGGGTTCAAATGCAGGTCATCAGACTTGGCAGCAAGAGCTTTTAGTTGCTGAGCTATGCCACTGACCCATCTTTTTTCTATTCTCTTTTTTTTCCCTTTGGTTATTTTTATTTTTATTTTTTTAAGTAGTACTGTTATAATATTCTCACTATATGTTTTTCACCTGAGGATGTATTTCAACTATTTTGTTTCCTGGTTTCTAATAATTTACCAATATAAAAGGCACCATTTGGGCTGGAGAGATGGGTCAGTGGTTAAGAGCACTGGCTGTTCTAGAGGTCCTGAGTTCAATTCCCAGCAATCTCATGGTGGCTCACAGCCATCTATAATGGGATGTGATGCCCTCTTCTGGCATGCAGGCCTACATGCAGACGGAGCACTCCTACCTAAAAACAAAATACATAAATAAAATTTAAAAAAAGGCACCATTCACTGATACAAATGGGGGTGGGCTGAGGGACTACAAGAAGCAGCGTTATATGTTTATTGAGTATAAGACATTTAAATTTTAAAATATGGGCCTCACATTTGGGTCAGTTTGTTTCCCAGGCCTGATTTTTAAAGGGGTAAATATTAATAAGAGTAACATAAACATGTACATTTGCAAAGGAAATCTTGAATATATATATACACATACATACATATATCTATATCTATATCAATCACAGATCTGAGGATAAGACTGAAGAAAGGAAGTAAAAGATCTTTGTTCTCTACCTCCCCCCCTTTCCTTTTCTCTTTCTTTAGTTCTCAGTGATTATGTCTGAATATAAATGGATTTCCCTGGTTTCCCCTTTAGGGTATTGTCATTGGAACAGGAGAGAATTCTGAATTTGGAGAGGTTTTTAAGATGATGCAAGCAGAAGAAGTGAGTACTGACTGTCAGCTGTTTGTTTCAATCTCTAATTTTCTCTCTTACGTGGTAGAAAAGTAAGGAGTTATAGATTCTTGCATATACTGTTGAAGACTGTTTTCTTCAGGATATTGCTAATTTTTTTCTTATAAACACAATTGGAAATCCTAAAATTGGAAGGGCCTGAATTTACATTGTCATTATTATGTAAGGTTTTTATTTTTATTAATTGTTTATGTTAGAAAGAGATTCATAGCCATTGGATAGGTGTTATTCTTACAGAAAATGGTTCTGTTCTGTTATTACTTGGAGTGAGGATTTACCCTAATGTGTAGCATGTGCTCAGCACATGTTCTGCTGATGTGCACTCTCTCTAGGATTACTGTTGATGTGCTTTTAGCCCAGGTCATATCCTCTTCCCCAAATTTTAACATAATTTCCTGTGTGTGTATGTGTGTGTGTGTGTGTGTGTGTGTGTGTGTGTGTGTGTGTAAAATTGCATTCTGTAAATGCTATGTTCTTCCACAATCATCTGGATTTCTTAGCTAAACTAGCAAAATTCCTGTTTGTGGTATAATGTGGAACAAGGAGCTTGGTGGTGGAAGATCAGTAAGGAAGATTAGCAGATCGAGGAGGCACAGAATAAAACAAAAGGTTGGGTTTTACCGGGCATGTTTGTGTGTACAGAGAGGAAAACTGGAGAATGGCAGGAATAGCTGACAGTAATGAAGTCTGGGAGAAGCTGGCAGGAGAGATTTTTAGCTTAGTGGGAAGCGTAGTGAGAAGCCTTTCTAAGTAAGCCAGGTCTTTAAATGGACAGCTTTCACTGCTTCCTGTGTGAACTACACCATGTGAGCATAGGCCGCAGTTTCTTCAGGGAGGGTGGGAGTGTTAACATCTAGAGAGTTGTGTGCTTAATTCAGGAATGTGCATTCCGAGTGCTTTGCAGAGTTCCCGGCACCTGGAAAATGTATCCAATTTAACTTACTGTGACAATCTTCTCTAATTTGTCAAGGCACCAAAAACTCCTCTGCAGAAGAGCATGGACCTCTTAGGCAAGCAGCTGTCCTTTTACTCCTTTGGTATAATAGGTAAGAGAAGAGTGAGTATGTGTACAGTTTTTACCTGTGTTTTCTTTTCTTGTTCTTTGGACATATTTATTTTGCACATACATGGATGCCAGAGCACAACAGTCTGTCATCACGTGGGTTCTGGGGATTGAACTCATGTTGTGTGGCATGGTGGCAAGCTCCCTTACTCACTCAGCCATTTCATTGGCTTCTTGGGTGTTCTGTTTTGAGTGTTAAGGGTAGAATTATTTTGCTCCCATGTTTCCTTTTAGGTTAGTACTCATTTTTTAAAATTATAAAACCAACTCTAGGGACAGAGATAAAACCAGAACTGTGGAATTTCTATGTCTAGTCAGTGAGCATTCCTCTAAACATTTTAGTATTTGTCTTCCTAGTCATGCTAGTGTTGACGGCTCTTCTCAGTCTTGTCTCTCTTCCTCTTTCACCTTCTCCTCCCCTTTTTCCTTCCTTCCTTCCTTCCTTCCTTCCTTCCTTCCTTCCTTCCTTCTGTCTTGGATAGTCTATCATAAATGTCTTGTCATTAAGTTGATAGTGACCTAAGCAGATTTAAAGATAGTGTAGTATTCTGTTTTCTGGATCTGTAATCAGGCATTTTTTCAGATATTTACTTAGATTTTCTGATTGTTTTTAATTCATATGAATTATTCTTCCAGTGCAGATCATTAATAGCATATTATAACCATTGTTCATTTCTTTGGGATACATTTTTAGAAGTAAAATTATTGAAGTAACAGGCGTCCAAGTAATTTTAAGTTTTTGATCATCCTAGGACTATCCCATCCTCATATTTATAAGAATGTTTACATCAAGAATAGTGCGATAGGGCTGGAGAGATGGCTCAGATGTTAAGAGCGCCAACAGCTCTTTCAGAGGTTGTGAGTTCAATTCCCAGCAGTCATATGATGGCTCACAACCATCTATAATGAGATCTGGTGCTGTCTTCTGGCATGCAGGAATATATGTAGATAGAACACTGTATACATAATAAATAAATAAATCCTTAAAAACAAAACAAAACAAAAAAGAATAGTGCTATAGCTGGGCAGTGGTAGCACACACCTTGAATCCCAGCACTTGAGAGGCAGAGGCAGGTGGATCTCTGTGAGTTCAAGGCCAGTCAGGTCTACAAAGGAAGTTCAGGACAGCCAGGACTACAAAGAAAAACCCTGTCTTGACACCCCCCACCCAAAAAATATTGTACTATAGATTAATTCCTTCTTGTTTAGATTTTCACTGTGGTTGGTTTTTGGTGCTGGTGATTGAATCCAGGGCCTCACACATGCCAGTCAAATGTTCTACTATAGAACTACACTTCTAGCCACTATATAAGTTTAAATTTTAATGCTCAATTTTACTACCATGGTAACATGTAGACCATGGTGACTTCAAACTTATTTTGTAGCCAAAGATGACCTTGAACTCCAGGCCTTCCTATACCTCCCAAAGGCTGGGATTGCAGGACTATGATACTGTGCCTGGCTTACTTTTACTATTTCATTTCAAGATTGTCTGCTTCATAGCAAGGTACTGATGCCTGGAACTGTAAGTCTAGAGGAGGTCATAGGCTAAGTTAGAGGAGGGCCCACTGCTGTTATTTACTAAATGGACATAGTATCAAGCTGCTTTCTGAATACTTGTTCCTGTACCCTTAGACGAGTGCAGCTCTCACCTTCAAAGAGAAGCTCCTTTTTTTTTTTTTTTTTTTTTTTTTTTTTTTGTAGTAGACAGTGATTAATAGACTCATCTGGTCCAAGTGCAGAATAAGTGACTGGAGTGCTCATCCCTAAATGAGGCATCTATAGCGTACTCCCACGAAGGCTTAGGGAGGATTGTAGAAGAGGAAAGTTTGTATGAGTCAGAAATAGTGTCTTCAGAAGGTGACAGAATCCAATGATCCTGTGTCATGAATGCAGAGCAGCTGTAATTGCCTGAATGAGACCTGAAAAAGATCAAGCCATTGAACATTCTGATATGGAGGGGCTCATGAAGCTCCACTCTCTAACTGAAGAGCTGTTGGCAATCATGGCTGCTGGGGAGAGTCAGTTTTCTTCAAGGATGTGGCCCCTGGTAGGTTGTTCATGCTTTAGTGGATGGCTCTTCACCCATGTGCATAAGAGTAACACTAATTTGGCTCAATGGTTTATAAAAGAAACGCAGACTTGAACTTGGGGGGAAGTATGTGTGTGGGAGTATGTCTCCAGGAAGGAGCTGGAGGGAGGGAGGGTAGCTGGGATAAAACCACATTGTATACATGTGTGAAATTCTCAAAGAACAAATGAAAAATACCAGAATGAAATGGTAACTGTTGAAGGAGAAAGCCATATTTCCCTTGCTTTAAACACTGTATACTATATAGATGGCATCAAAAAATTTCATGGAACTGTGTAAAAACACCTTCTGTTTCTGTATCATCAGTTAATTTAAATTTAAACAAAATACTTATTTTTAAAATTATGTAGCTTAAGTTAGAGTTGTAACTTTGTTACTCAAAAGTTAATTATCCAGGTACTACTACTTTTATAATTCATTATTTATTTACTGTTTTGAATGACATCTTTATCATATACATGGCACATATATTAATTTAGAATTTTAATGTGGAATTTTTCCTAATTCTCCCACTGTTTTAATTATTATAGTTCTTAGTGTTTTAAAGTCAGTAATCCATTTTAAAGCAATTTTTTCCCTTTTGTAGTTTCAATGAAACAATCCCTAAAATATCTGTTTTATATCTATATGGTGATCAGTTGTCATCTTAGGAGGCAGGAAGGTAATGCTTTTGCTTTTAACTGGTTTATATTCCTATAACTGCGTTTATTTGGTTATTGCCATGTATTTGTGCTTCTAGTGAATCTGTTAGTAAGAAATCTCAGTCTCTCTGAGATAGTCCTAAATATATACCTTCATAGGAAGTACGTACTTCATGTATAGTGTCTCATATTGATTTATGTAAAGTTAAATTACAGTGTTGTTTGTAAAGTTGAGAGTCAGTGTGAGACCTATGTGTTTTATAGATCTGCCTCCAATTTTGTCCTGTGAAAATGCTGTCAGTGTTCTTTGAGCTGTTAGTTTCTGTTTGGAGAGATGAGTGGGAGCCTCAGAGCCGAAGGAGAAGCTGTATCCTCTGCACATGCCCTTTCAGGACAGCCTCTAGGGGATATGCTTTCCCTCTTATGCATCCTTGAGCTGCTTCATCTGTCCTCTGTAGGTGATTCTATAGAAAAGGGAAGGAAGAATAAGTATTTGATCTTGTTCTAGGTATCATCATGTTGGTTGGCTGGTTACTAGGAAAAGACATTCTGGAAATGTTTACTATTAGTGTAAGGTAAGTTCTAGTATTTGTTTGTAGATTCAGTGTCTTGTCTCTTCTCTGGTGGAGTTCATTTCGTTATGGAGATTGATTTTATGTAGAGCCCATAAGAATATAAAACATTTCTACTATGTTTCTACTTAAATAATTTAAAAGCCAGATTCTGTTTTTCTTATATATATACTATATGTATACATATTAGATATACTGTATATAAATATAACTATATATATGCACACACATATATACTATATAGTTATAATGTTTGCCTCACAAAAGCTATATATTCAAATGGACTCCTGGGAAAATGGAAGCCTACTTATTTGTCGGTAGAGAAAAAGCAGACTTGACTGTTAACTCACTATTGCATTTTTGCATGTAGGTAGACAAGGAATGTTGGAAAGCTCATGGTTTGCAATAGAAAATCACACTGTATTAATTGAATAATCAGCCTCCAAAGAAAAAGAAAATCTCTAGCATCAAGTATCCTTTGTCATCCATGGAAGAGGGACAGGTTATTATAGAAAAGCATCAGAGAACAAAGAATTTCTAGAAATGTAAGATCTTGATTGCTGAAATTAAAAATTCAATATGAAGTTCAAGAGAGAAAACAGAAAAACAAAGAAACAAACAAAAAGTCCATGAAAGAGATAATAGTAACCCATAATGAGATAGAAACAGAAGAACAATGTCAGGAACTGTTATTTCCAAAGGAGAAGTAAGAGAAAACCATTCAGGAAACAGTGTGGGTGTCTTCTCAAGATAAAGTGCAGTCTGGGTCTCTGGCGACTGAATGAATTCATCGTATACCTAGCTAGGTGGAAAAGGTTGCAGGCTACATACACACCGTGCATCATCATGAGGCTGTGGAACACAAGCCATCTACAAAAGAAGTATAGTTAGGTTGTCCTCAGACTTTTCATTATTTGTGGATTCCCACTACAACTTGTACTAAACCCTTTAACTCAGCTCTTCATAGACCACATCCGGTATCTGTGTCGTGAAGACAGCAGGGCCAGTTTAGAGTGTCCTGCAGCAGACCATGCAGCCCTTCACTTGGGCACACAGACATGGCGGTTCTGAGTTCCGGGATTACCCTGGTTACAGTTAGCCTCATTTACCGCTGTGTGCTTGCAAAGATGCAGGTATAGTTAAGAGTCACTGTACCGTGCCGGGCGGTGGTGGCACACGCCTTTAATCCCAGCACTCGGGAGGCAGAGGCAGGTGGATCTCTGTGAGTTCGAGGCCAGCCTGGTCTACAGAGCGAGATCCAGGAAAGGCGCAAAGCTTCACAGAGAAATCCTGTCTCGAACAAACAAAAAAAAAAAAAAAAAAAAAAAAGAAGAGTCACTGTACCTAGATATTATATAACTATGACTTCTTGTAAGATAATTATGATTTTCTTAGACCAGGGAAAGATTATCAGCAATCTCCTTTATTATAAATGGTGTGGCCCAGCAACAAATTGGACAACACTTCATATCAGGTCACCAGGGAAACAGAATTAGAAAGTTAATCAGGTGAAGAAAGGGAAACATTTTATTTACTTTTCATCTGTAGCAACATCAGATTACATTGTAAGATGGTGGGACATTGATTATCAACAACGGAGGAAAATGATTGTAAGTCTGAAGATTAGGCCTAGCCCTAGTATTAGTTCGATCAGTTAAAGATAGCAGATGCTTGGGATATTTATGAAGGGAAGAAAAGGGGGAAAAGATGATATGTGGGTATGTAAAAAAGAATAGAACTCACCTAGTCAACTTAAGGGAAAGAAATTCTGAGTAGCATCTCTATATAGTAGACCAGGATGGAAAAGTTCAAATATTAAAATAAAACAAAAATCAATATTTCCAAAGGACAAATTGTGTACATTATAAGGAATATATAGGAAAGAGAGAGTGATATCTTCTCTCAAAGGTCTTTGTGACAAAGTAAAGGAGCTAGACCACAACCCGAAACTTGTTTTAAAAAGTGTGTCTGGCCGGGCGGTGGTGGCGCACGCCTTTAATCCCAGCACTCGGGAGGCAGAGCCAGGCGGATCTCTGTGAGTTTGAGGCCAGCCTGGGCTACCAAGTGAATTCCAGGAAAGGCGCAAAGCTACACAGAGAAACCCTGTCTCGAAAAACCAAAAAAAAAAAAAAAAAAAAAAAAAAAAAAAAAAAAAAAGTGTGTCTGTGTGTGTGCATGTGTGTGGGGGCATTAAATATGAAATAAAAATGGGGAATGTGTTTGTGATACTGTTAGCATATGATAGGGCCAAGTTTAGTTCTTTAATATTTTTTTTCTTTTTAAAGTAATTCTGGTCATAAGGATTCACATTATTACTTTTATTTCTTTAGGATATGCCAACATTCCAAAAATTAAAAAAAAATGAATAGAATGAAAACTGGTTGCATTGGACTCAAGTATAAATATATGATTCATGATGGAACCTTTAGTGATTTAATTTTTTTCATTTCTTGAAACATTTTGCTTTTATTACTTTAATAATTAATTTAATGATTTCTATATGTACCAAAAATGACGACTGATGTAAAATTGTAGAATGATAGAATTGCCTAGAAGTGGAAAGTTGGTGTAGTAATAAACCATCAGTATCTTATAATCCTTTAGGGTTTTTTGATCAGTGTATCCCATTACCATATAAGAAAGTATAAAATAAATCTTAGAGATGATCTTTATAGGTTTGTGGGGTTTTTTTGGTTTTTATTTTTATTTTGTTCATTTGTTTTTGAATCCCCTAAATTTTTTCAGGCATTCATTGAACAAAAGTGAGAATTCTGGAGTTGTGCACCATAATGGCAAAGAGGAAAACTGACAATGACTAAATAATTACCAGACAAAAGAGAATGCAGAAAACCAGATAGAAATTCTTTGGGCTGTAAAAATGGGTCAAGTTAACCATGCAATTGAATCAGGGCTATAAACTCCTAAGGTGATGAGTGAGTGGTGTGTTTCTAGGGGCAAAATGAAAAAGGCCATTTCTCCTGGTTATTTTTGCAGCAAGGATTTTATCATGTAATGTCTCCAGTAAGAATCTAGACCATCCCTTTTTACCAAAACTATATATGATGATATTCTTTCATTTTTAATGATGCTTATTTTTGTTCACTTCATACTTTATATGTAAGTGGAAAAATGTCTAGAGTATAAAGGTGATTACAAAGAAATGTATGCAGAAATGGGAAAATTACCACTATAATTGATGTTTCAAAAATCTAAGAACAGAAATATTTCAGTTACATAAAATATGACTTTCCTTTCCCACCAAGTTAAGAGCCCTCATTATTTTTAGAAGTGTTACTTGCTGATAAAACAACTGCAAAAGTAGCTGGTTGAGTATGGTGAATCATGTCTGCTACCCAGCTGAGGCAGGAGGATCATGAATTTGTGGCTAGTCCTGGGTAATGAGACCCTATCTCATAAAAAGTAAAAGCAACCCCCAAACCCAAGCAAACAACCAAACATCAAGACTATCAAAGAAGAACCAGGATTGTAAGTTAGAATCTGTTAGGGATGTGTTTTGAAGTGTTTACACTGCATTAATTTGCAGTTGAACAGTCCACTGTACCTCGAGGATGTTACCCACTTCAGGCATATAGACTGTCAAAACAAGGAATAGTTTTGGATTAAGATTAAAAAAATTCTAATGAAGTTTTTCATAATCTGTTCTGTTATTTGTAAAATGACTCAAGAGCAAAAGATTGAGAAGGCTTGTTAGATGTGGATTATAAATCATGATGTGTGTTGTTGTATAGTAAGACATAGTGGAAGCAGGAGAGCAAAGGATCTCATTTCACCATGCTCAAATGAGAGACAGAAGGTGTGCATGTGTTTAACCTTCAGGGTGCTCAATCTGCCAAATATTTTTGTAAATGTTGCTTATTTTCAGCCTTTATAATCAACCTCTAAACAAAGAATAAAAATGTAAATTATGATTACAGAAGTAGAACGGAATGTTAATGTTATAAGTAGGAGTAGCGATATTGTTGTGACGTTAGTCAACGTAAACTTTAATATTGTGTATCCATTGCTTATAGTTTGGCTGTAGCAGCAATTCCTGAAGGCTTGCCTATTGTGGTCACAGTGACACTAGCCCTGGGGGTTATGAGAATGGTGAAGAAAAGAGCTATTGTGAAGAAACTGCCTATTGTGGAAACACTAGGTAAGTGTTGTGAAGAGCACTGAGGTAGTGAGGCCTTCGTTCACGCGGTGGAGAGTCACTGCACTTTACAGTTTCTCTGTTACTAACATTATAATGATGTTGGGGTCGAGCAGTGATGAACACAGTTTTAACAACCCAATTAAGCAATTAAAAATTCATTTCTTAAGAAGAATCTTTATGCATTATGGAATATGCTAATGCTTAGATCATATTTTTTGATATCCATATTGCAAATGAAGTCTTGGAGCAAAATTAATAGAAATTTTTTTATAGTTGATAATTACAGAACTCAGTTTCCTGCTTAGATTGACTTCGTTTATAGTAAGAACAATAAGTATATCCTGGTTATATTGATTGAACAACTTTATTCTCAAAATACCACAAAACTTCTTTTAAAAGTAGTGTAGCTATCCAGAAATGTTTTTAAGTTCAATTTCTTGTTTATAATACCTTGAAAATCCCTGACTGAAGAAATTATATGGATTCACATGTCAGAATCTTTTAAAATTCCTAGAAAATGTATTCTGAAGTCATTGTCCAAAACCAATATGAAGTAGCTTTGTAGGAACTAAAAAAAAGTAAACATCTAAATTTTGTTTCTAACTTCAGAAACTTTACCTTATGATGAAGCAAACATAAAGTAAGAAATTATAATGACCAATGACTTGGGAATTCAGAGTAATAGAACATTGTTTCCAGATGTTTTATTCCTTTTTCTAAGTTGACCTGCTTCTCTCTTGATTCTTGTGGTGACACCCTGTGATTTGTTTTTAGGCTGCTGCAATGTGATTTGTTCAGATAAAACTGGAACATTGACAAAGAATGAAATGACCGTTACTCACATATTTACTTCAGATGGTCTGCATGCTGAGGTATTGATTTTTTTCTTTTTAAAAAAGTCTACCCTTTTAAAGAAACTCAGTGTTTAAGATGCTTACCAATTCTAATGTTTTTATCTTCAAAATCTCTTTGCTTTACATGTGATCTTATCACTTGTTTCACGTTGTGTGTACAATTTAGAGTCTTGGATCCCTTGGCATCTCTTTAAATCACCCTCCATCCACTCATCACCAAGTCCTGCCAGTTTTGACCTCCTAAATTACCTTCCTGGGTATCTGTTTTATAGCCAACTTCTCCAGGCCATGTTACACGTCTTTCACCTGGCCTTCCGATACATCCTTTTGACTAGTCTTTCTGTATTTATTTTTGGTTCTCACACTGTCTGTTCTTTGAGAGCCTTGTATAGAGATATAGCACGTCACCCCCAAGTTAATTCAGTGGTTCTCCATTGTGCAGAGGATTCTGAATTGCGGCTCTTAAGGCTGTGTGGCCTTTTTCTTCCCTTTCCAGCCTTAGCTACCCCCTTTACTCTCCTGTGTGTGGTACATGGTAGACTAGCTTCATAGTTCTTTCTGTGTGGCAGAATTTCCCCCATGACCTTTGTTGCTGGCCCACTGTGTCAAAAAGCTGAATGCCTCTTTTTCTTCAGTATTGACTCTCTGCACTCTTCAGGAAAGTCTTCCTGAGCACTGAGAACTGGCCCTGTGCTTCATGTGTTCTTTGTAATCCAGTCTTTATCCCAGCTGAAAATTCCTTCCCTCTTTCCTACTAGATGATGAGTTAAGAGCAGGAGCTATGTTGACATATCACAGTAAATACTTGAATGAATCAATAACGAATGACTTTATAAACTTACTTATTGACAATCTCTGTACTGTACTTCTTCAGAAGCTGGTGGAGGGTTACTTTTAGGCCCTCCTGATTTTTGAAGACTCTCTGATTAGAATATTCTTAATAGTAGTTATGAAGGGCACAGATTTTTAAAGTTTACAGATAATTCATCAAAGAAAACAAACATTAGAAAAATTGACAGAAGTGTGTACTTAGGTTTGTTTGGGTCTGTTTTACATAGTCCTTAAAGTGAGATTGTTGAATGCAGGTTATTAGGTTTGGTCTGGGATACCTAAAGCTGTATGTGTTCCTTTTTCAGAAGGGTGGCTGGAGTTACCTGTGTTTATATGCATGGCAGACAGGATATTAGTTTCTCTTCAGAGTCTATCATTTTATGTTAAATATTAATGATTTGTCTTTTTTTATTCTAAGCTTTATTATTTTCATTATGATAGTTGTTTACCTAGGTTCTAGCCACTTGGGATATTTGGCTTGTTTCATGTATGATTTTTTTTTAGGGTAGCCTTATACTGTGTTATTAGAGCAGCCTGTCATTTCCAGGGTGAGCCTTTCACTGTCCCTAAGACCATTTGCCTGGAAACCAAGTTTCAGCTAGTACCTGGTCTCGGGTGTGGGTGAGAGGCTAGACATGGTAATAGTGGGTTCAAGTTTTTTTGCAAGCTGTAATGTATTGCTATATAAAATTAAGCTCAGTTATATAGAGATTTTCCATAGTTTTTTTTTAAATCTTATTTTTATAATGAATCATTGAGCAGACAAAAATATCTTTTTAGGTTAATTAGTATCCCAAATAGAATTTCTGTTCCTCTGATATTAAATTGTCTGTTTTAGATTTATTTTATTGTTTAGCATTTGTATTACCAACAGTATGACTAGAAAATGACATGAATATAGCTCAGGCTGTTATTTGGTTGCCATTAAGTCTTATTACTGTACTGTTTGTGTTATTAATCCTTAGGTTACTGGAGTTGGCTATAATCAGTTTGGTGAAGTAATTGTTGATGGTGATGTTGTTCATGGATTCTATAACCCAGCTGTTAGCAGAATTGTTGAGGTAAAAATATATTCAAGAAGTTAACTTAGTGCATAATGACTTAAGCCAGAGTGATGCCGTTATAGTTGATATGCATTTCTTTTAGGCGGGCTGTGTGTGCAATGATGCTGTAATTAGGAACAACACTCTGATGGGAAAGCCAACTGAAGGAGCCTTAATTGCTCTTGCGATGAAGGTATGTGTTTAGTATCTTTGGCATGTGGGCGATTACCCTGCTAGCAGAATGTGAGGCCTTTCAGATTCATCATCACTGTGGTTTTAGGTATTTAGTAAGACTCATTTTCCATTTTGTTTTTAACTGGCATTGGGGATCAGTTTAATGAAGAGAACAGACAGTTTCAGTGTAACTTACTCCTCACTGCAAGGTACAGAGTAATGACCAGAGAGGGATGTGTTTTTAGTATTGAGATCCGTATGTGAAAAGCTTGTAAGTGTGTGTAGTTGCTGTTAAATACTTGTACATGAATAAAAGATAATATTCTGGAATACTTTTGTACTTTTACATTAGTAAAAGAAAAGATTCTCTAGTAACTCATTACAAATCTTAATGCAGTTGTAGGAAATCAATTTTTTTCCTTCTAATCTTTGCTTCCTTTCATCCATTTCTCAAAGTGAGTGTTATTAAAATCTGTTTGGAGCCGGGCGGTGGTGGCGCACGCCTTTAATCCCAGCACTCGGGAGGCAGAGCCAGGCGGATCTCTGTGAGTTCGAGGCCAGCCTGGGCTACCAAGTGAGTTCCAGGAGAGGCGCAAAGCTACACAGAGAAACCCTGTCTCGAAAAACCAAAAAAAAAAAAAAATCTGTTTGGGAGAGGAAGTATTGTTCCTCTAATCTGTTCAAATTGAGCCTATCCTAAATTTACATTTCTTTCAGTGAGAAACCTGGTATTTACATAACTAAAGCAGCCTTTCCCACTTGTAAGAATAGTTTGAGAAAACACTGAAATTTGAATGAAACAGTATTTTTCTATGTGCGGTTACTGGGAATGAGAACCAGCATACAGTTGCACCTTAGTGTAGCTTTTAATTCAGAAGATGATCACTGGATTTGCTTAGTCATTTGTTCATTTTAATATATATAATAGAGATCGAATCCCGGGCTTTCCAGATGCCAGGCAGGCACTCTTAACTCTGAGATAAACCACTGTCTAGTAGTTTAAAAATATATATGTTTTCTCTATAGAAACCTGTAGTTCTCTATCATCTGGCCTAAAACTGAAAAAAAAATGTATATCTTTTGGAAGATTAATAAAAACATGGAGCAGGTGTTAGGTATTTCCTATGTTTCTGTTTAGCAAGCTCCTAGCTACTTCCTAGAGGCATTAATCCTGACATCCCTGGAACCAAGCCATCTGTTTTCTTCAGAAGTATGTTCAGAGTTCTCTTGGTATTCATATAAGCACCAAACTGCAGCCTGCTCATCAATTTCCCTCTTTACACAAGCACCTTTCATTCCTATCATTCCTATCATTCCTATCAGGCAGAGCAAGATAGTTAAATCTAAAACACTGAGCAGCCATTCTGTCTGTCTGTCTATGTATCTTGAACAGTGCAAGTTCAGAGCTGGAGGCTTGACGTTAAAGGATAGAAAAGGTTTAGTGAGGATAGCTAGGAAGGAGCTTAAAATGAAAGCCCGAGGGAGTGACTAGGCATGGAGTGAATGGGTCATGGCTAATTGTCTGGCTAGTGTGAAAGGAATGAAAGGTGCTTGTGTAAAGAGGGAAACTGATAAGCAGGCTGTAGTTTGGTGCTTATATGAATACCAAGAGAACTCTGAACATACTTCTGAAGAAAACAGATGTTAATTACATGGACTTTTGACTAGTTTTAAAATACATATAGATATTTGGAATAAGAGGCAAAGGTATCAGAAAGGATTAGGAGTGAGAACAGATACATGACATTAGTAGTTACTAGTAGTTATAATGGGGGGGGGTGTTGTGTAACAGAACTTCCTAGAGAGACACAACACACACACACACACACACACACACACACACACACACACACACACACCCCAGATGTTGTGTAACAGAACTTCCTAGAGAGACACAACACACACACACACACACACACACACACACACACACACACACACACACACACACACACACACACACACACACACACACACACACACCCCAGATAGGGAATCCATGGTAGATCAAACTACAGATACCACCAAAGTCCAACTCGGTTAACCAATGAGTTTTATTGGGGTTACTTACATGGATATGGGTGAGAAGTTACTTACAGGAGCAGAAATAACTCAAAGACAGCTGTGTCACCAAAGCCCACCCCAGCACAGGTGACAGCTCATGAAGGCTGGGAACTTGGAGCACCCAGCACAGCCTGCAGGCAGATCCACAGGCTGGAGAGTGTCCTTTCCAAGTGACTCTGATTTAAACCTCTTCCAGGCAGCTCAGCTGGCTTCTGCTTCTAAGCAGCTGGTCTGGTGTCACTCTTCTTTACAGCTTGGCTTGTTTGAGGGTGTCTCTCAGCAGTCTTTATTGTTTAGTCTGGGAGGGAGGGGCCTAGTGAATCTGCTCAGTTTCAGGACTTAAAAAAATTTTGATTTGTTTACCTGCCTGCTTAAGGACTCAATGTTTCAATCTGGAGGAAACTGTTACAAAACCATGGGCTAAAGGATTAGGATGAAGATGATAGCAAAAGACAAGAAAGATCCCAGTTGCCAATAAGTGAAGGGTTAATATGAAACTTTTCTGAGTTGGGAAAGTTCATCTTTAGTATTGGTCAGGCACTTTTATTTATTTGTATATTGTTTTCTTCCAGAATTTGAGCTTGTAGAGAGGTTAATTAATATAACTTATATGAAGGCTTGTTGTACAAACAGTCTGTAGTATTCTATCTATACATTCAGGCTTTCATGTTGAAATTGTATGCTGCTCTTCAGGGAAATGCAGTCCACAATAGATAAAACATTGCTATTCTTTCACCAATATTGGAAAAGGAACCAGTTATCTTAACTCACCATGTTGTAAGTTGTGACTTGCCTTGCTTGTTAAAGGGAAAAATAACCATGTTGGTTATAATTAATTTTTTTTAATTTTGTTTTTACAGATGGGCCTTGATGGACTGCAACAAGACTATATCAGAAAAACTGAATACCCTTTTAGTTCTGAGCAGAAGTGGATGGCTGTTAAGTGTGTACACCGAACACAGCAGGTATCTCTGTCTTTAAAAATGTTTAGGCATAATTCCAGCATTTAGGAGGCTGAAGCAGGATTGCTACCAGTTTGAGGTCAGCTGTACAGTGAGTTTCAGGCAAGCCTGGGTTATAGGGTGAGGCTCTCAAAATAATAAAATAATAATAGAGCACATCTGTTTCAGCTTAGGTGACAATTTTTCCTTTTTTATCTTCTTTTTTTTAGTTTACCATTAGTTCTACTGAATTACTGTATCTGTTGCCTTAGAGCAGTGGTTCTCAACCTCTGCACGGTGACCTCTTTGGGGGTTCAATGACCCTTTCACAGGGGTTGTCTAAGACCATCGGAAAACACAGATATTTACATTACAGTTATGAAGTAGCAATAAAAACAATTTTATGGTTGCAGGGTCATCACAACATGAGGAACTGTGCCAAAAGATCATAGCATTAGGAAGCTTGAGAACCACTGTCTTAGGACATTGTAATCAACAGTGTACTTAAGTCTTTATTACATGTTTTTATTATGACACTCTTTATAGAATTTGTGTATTGAAATATTAAGTGTTTGTGAGCCAAGAGCTTGAGTGGATTATAGCCTGGTCTTCGGTATGGAGGGAGGGCTTTGACATCCAGTTCTTTTGATATGATTTTCTTCTAACTGATAGTTCATTTTAGGTCTCTGCTGATGATTTTATGTTGGACTGCTCTTCATAGAAGGAATGTCTTATCCTTCAAATAAATTACACACTAATTGTGCAATTCTTCTCATTTCCAACCTAAAGACTTCCTGCAAGATGAAAGCAACCAATGGAATGAACATACAAAACCTAGACACACAAATGAGACTCAGTAGGTGTGGAGGGAGGTCAGCCCGACACAGATTGGACACACTTGCTGACTTACAAATACCTAGAATGGCTCAGTTAGTTTGTTTAGAAGTGTCTTTTGAATATGATAATAACAGTATATTTTCTCAATCTCTGGAATAAAAGATAAAAACCCACAAGTACTTTAAAGGCAAGTAGTAAGGCAGACAGTCTAAATGAGGAACCAGTAGGAAGCCTTCTTCCCCAAATGCCCTTTCTGCCTCTTTAGTTAGGACAGTGTTCCTTTGTCCCTGTGGAATATAGGAGATCTGAGGAGGATAGGAGTGGAGCAAGCTTAACACTGAACACTGAGCCAAGGAAGTAATAAAGGACAAGCCTCTAGGCCTCAGTTCCTCTCTGGGTGTGGGCAGCCAGGCCCTGCCTTATCCTTGTTCCCTTGGAATAGTGGAGAGTTCTGGAAAAGCTCCCTGTTCTTTTCAATAGCAAAGACAAAAGCTTCTCTACTCTTAGGCTTCCCCTGCCCCTTGCAGCAAGGTCTGCCAGCTGACCAGGCACCTGCCAGTTTTTCAGTTGTGAGCTTAAATGGATAGGCAATCCTTCTTTCTGGTAACCAGGGAAATGTGTAGTGTAAAGCTGCAGACAGAGGCTCAGAGAAGCTAAGGCAGTGGCATGCTGAAGGAGGTTCCTAAAGACCCTGAGAAGTGACAGCCAAATGCTGAATACAAGCTCTAGGTAAGGAAGGACTCTGTCAGAAAGTAGACTAGAAAGTGGGAAGTAGCTGTAGAGAAGATAAGAAGATCAGGAAATGAAGTTTTGGAGATCGAGAATACAGGTAATAGTGGGACTGGCATAGAGGACAAGAAATACGATTGTGCCAGGCTTGCTGCTCACACCTTTAATCTCAGCATTCAGGAGGCAGAGGCAGGTGGATCTCTTAAGTTTGAGGCCAGCTAGGTCTGTATATATCAAATCTTGGGACAACCAAGGTCTACATAAAGAAACCTGTCTCAAAAAAATTAACAGCAAAACAAAAAGAAGAAAGAAATGAAATTTTATCAGATAATGCTAGAAATATTTCCAGAACAGAAACTATGTGAAATGGAGGATGGAGTGAGGGGATAAGCACAAGGAGGCATACTCAAGAAAGGCTGCTCCCTTAGAGTGTTGAAGAGTGACGAGATACTTGGGGAAGCATTTGTGAAGCATCCAGAGATGTTTGAAATAGGAGGCAACGCCATGTGAAGAGGTGAGGGAGAGGGCAGTCGCACAGAAGGCTCAGGGCTAATGTGGCTCCGTGGTGCTCTGGGCTGCAACCCTGGGCACTGGGATTAAAGGTGTGCGCCACCACTGCCTGGCAGGCAATGTGTAAAATTGTTACCAGAGGAGTCACATTATAAATGTGTTAAAAATTCAGAGGTTGAAACCAAAGAAGACACCTGAAAGAAGTTGTAAGTTGGCTTGCCTTGATGGCAGAGGGCCTTCAGTGAGAAGGGCTGGTAGAGACTGCAGATTTTCCTTAGAAGGTTCTGGGAATTATTTTGTATTGTTTTTCCCATGTTGGGGATTAAAATTAGGGCATTGTATATGCTAGACAGAATATTACTTCTACTGTGATAAATGGAAGAACTCTGTCAGCACTCTCAATCTCAAGGTGGTTGTGAGCATTAAAGAGCATCATAGGTAGGTTGACATAGACACTGGTACATACGTAGTCATTAGTAAAGAGCCTGAAACCTTACCCCTGGACTGATCAGATCACATTCATTTCCCTGCTGCATGCTGTAGAACCGTGTCCCAAGTCTCACAGTGCCCATAGTGTAAGGTATGGTAGGACAGATTTTTTTGTAGAAATATATAGAAAACTCCTACATGTATTAATAATCTTCAGAGTTTAAATGTCACTCAAAGCATTAGGTTTGAATAACTTTGCTAAGCGTTATGAGAGATTGATGTCTCTTTTTGGATTCATGTAGGATATGTATACAATTTGAATGTAAACTTGGTATATTTTTCTTTTTAGGACAGACCAGAGATTTGTTTTATGAAGGGTGCTTATGAACAGGTGATTAAGTATTGCACTACATACAACAGCAAAGGACAGACTTCGGCACTTACTCAGCAGCAGAGAGATCTGTACCAACAGGAGAAGGCCCGGATGGGCTCAGCAGGACTCCGAGGTGAGCCTGTTTCAGCAGAGTCCCTGTTCTGGGGAAAGAAGGCCTTCTTTTAATTGCACTGAGGCCCCACTTCACTTCTGAGTTGTCCAGTCCTGCTCCAGTGTCAGAACCATTGACATTTCTGAGGAGTCATGTTTTTATAATTGAGGAACTGGCCCTCAAATGATAGAAAGTCAGAAATACAGCAAAATATGAACCCTTGGGTTTCTATAGATCTGCAGTGTTCTCTGTTTAGGATAGAGCCTTTACTTTCAAAAATTTTATCTTTTACAGATTTCTGTTAGATTTATTTATTTTGTGTGTATGTGTGTGTGAATGGCATGGCACAGTGGATAACACATGAAAATCAATTTTCTACTTTTACTGTGTGAGTTCAGTGAATGAATGAAACTCAGGTTGGCAGGGTCTATAGCAAGTGCCTTAATGTGCTGGGCCATTTTGCTGAAGAATTGTTGAGGTTTTTGTGTATGGTTTGTGTGGCACTTCACAATGTAGACTTGAATTATTAGAGGAAAATATTTGTTTCATAGAATTTTAGGAAATACTGTGATCTTTTTCTCTTATGCCTTTTTTGTCTTTCCTCTCCTTTTTGTTACTGTAATGGAAGAATAAAATATTAAATATTAATGTATATACATTAAAATATTAGTTGATATATGTATGGTTATACTGTATCTTACAAAGTTAATTTCTTAAAAATGCTTGTGGTCATAAATTTTGAAATTACAACATATTTTAGTTCCATTTCTTTATTGGTGATCATGACCAGCTACCTGACAAGCAACTTCAGTGAGGAGGAATTTATTTTGATGCATAGTTGAAGGTTACTGTCCATCATGGTGGGGAATGCATGGGGCTAGGAGTGGCTTAAGGAGGCAGGGTTGCTACTCTATATTCCAGGGCAGTAGAGAAAGAGAGGCAGGATGATGAGCTAGCTATAAAGCTAAAGTTCTGCCCTGAAGTGACCCACTTCCTCCAGGTAGGTTCCATATCCTGAAGGCTCCACAACCTCACAAAACAATGTTACCATCTGGGGACCACGTGTTCCAACTGCGAGTATGGGAAATATCATATTCAAACCATAATTGTTTTCTATCAGAGGACTTCTGTATAAACATTGTTTATCTATTCTTGACCTAAGGAATATTTCAAGTAGGTCTTTAGTGCTAAAGAGTGCCCAAATGCAGGGTAACAGTCTCCGGGCTAGTGTCAGCCCTCCACTGGGAGTGTGCAGAAATGATCTCCCTTACTCAGGATTTGCTAAATCAAATTGATAGCCTTCACTTCCTTTTATTGCCACCTGTCTCTATCCTAGCACCAGAGACTGCCAGGAGTCTCTTTCCCTGCAGAGTGAAAGCCTTTGTGGGTTATGTCTACACACTTAAACAGAAGTGGTTTGCCTTCAACTTTGATTTTTCAGTCCTTCATATTTTCTGCTTGAATAAGAATAAGTACTACTTTGGTCTCTTTTGGGACTTTGCAGATTCACTCTGAGACACTTAGGTTTAGTGTGTTTTTCTGGATACTTGAAGTGTTTAGTCTAATAATTTCCCTGATGCAGTTATGTCCTTTTTGATTTATAATGGTAGTGACCAGAAGTTCCAGAGTTCTGAGAGTAAGCTGAGTGATATTTGGGAAATGAGCATGACTTTCTGTTATATTTTGTTGCCCAGTCATGACAGAAAACTAAACATAATGATAGTTATGAGCTCTTAGAGACCTAAATTAAGAGCAAGAAATGCTTGTTAATGTTTGGAGGAAGTGAAAATAGACTTTGTTGATATTAATGCCCTTAATACCACTGTATAGATGAAATTTTCTTTCTAGTGTTTAGCATGTATGAAATTGTGTATATACAGGCTGTGTATAATTAATATATTCTTCACAGATCAAGATATATTAGAAGCCACCTTCCAAGGGGTCTGTTTACTTAAATTTGACTTTCAATGCTTGATAACACATATTTTCCCTTAAGTAATGAATTGTATTGTCGAAAGAGGTTGTAGTTTCTTTGGAGGGTAGCTTATTGTGGTTGTTATGGAAGAATGTTCTTAATTCTTTCTCATTTGTCTTCTCTGCTTAATAGTTCTTCGGTTTTATTCCTTTTAATTTTTAATAGCTTAAAGCAACCCTCTATCCATTGAACCATAATGTGTTGATTTGTGATAAGTTTGAATTGTAAATAATATGCAGTAACTACAAATGACATTATAGCTGTAAATGATTAATTATCAGCTAAGTTTGATGCTTTCACAACCAATACTTTCTGGTTTTGTATCTTGTTATTTTCTAAGTTCTTGCCTTGGCTTCTGGTCCGGAATTGGGACAGCTGACCTTCCTTGGCCTGGTAGGAATCATTGATCCTCCTAGAACTGGTGTGAAAGAAGCTGTCACAACACTTATTGCCTCAGGAGTCTCCATCAAAATGATCACTGGAGATTCACAGGAGACCGCAATTGCAATTGGTATAACTGAGCTGCTGCATTTTGGTTTTAATAGGTTTTCTTAAGACACTGCAGTGCATAGTTTTATGAACATTAGCTAGGAAATAGGTTTATATACTACTGAGATTATATAATAACTTACTTGTTTTTTCTCAAACTTATAAAAGATAGGTAAATAGGATTTTAGTTTAAAAAGAATATTGGAAATGTGACTTAACTCATTGTGAAATCATTTGTGTATTTAATCACAGAAGGATAGTTGATTTTGAACTTGATAGTCCACTTGCTGACAGGTATAAAACACTAATGTAGAGAGGTGAAAGGATGAATGAACTGAGGTTTTCCTTTTCAATTTCAGTATAACTTTCAAAGCAGACTTGAACATAAACACTAAGAGGACACCTTTTATAGACTTAGTTTTTCTCATCAGAGATATACTTACATGGTTTGAAAGTTAGTTGCAATTACCTTCAGAAATGTAAGGTGGAGAGAAGCATAAGTGCTTGTTTTTTGTTCTTGGAGCCTGTAAAGTATAATTTCAACATTTGCCAAGTCTGTTAAATCTGATTTTATTCGTTTGTGATAGATCTGGACTAAAAGTTTCAAACTTTGTTACTGAAAGGAACATTGGAGTGGTATTGGGATGATGGTATTGGAAGAATGTCTTTTCAACATGTATTTTCATTTACATGCAACTACAAGATTGCGTGCAGCTAAATCTGCCAACAGTTTTTCTGGCTTCAGTTACTTTGCTTCTAGTACATTCTGATTGTCATTAGAATTAAGCTGCTGAGCAGAAATTGATTAGTGTAGTTTTAATTTTTAGGGTTTGCTGGCTTAGGGACAATACTTTGTTCTTAAATTTAACAAAAACAAAATCCTCAAGTAGAAAACTTGAGACTCGCTATGAATTTCAGATAGTTTGTCTTACCAGTTATTTGTCTTATGACTCCTTGATAAACTGTTTAAAGAGAAGTAAGTTTTAAAAAATCATGTCAGATGAGCATAGTTTTACTGACTCTTCAAGCAAATAAATTTAATTATGTATATATTTTTGTCTTTTTTACTTTAGCTAGTCGTCTGGGATTGTATTCTAAAACTTCCCAGTCAGTTTCTGGAGAAGAAGTCGATACTATGGAAGTCCAGCAGCTTTCACAAATAGTACCAAAGGTAAGCCTACACAAATAGCTACTGCGAGTCCTTGTTCTAAACATCAGCCGTGGCTACTGACTGTCTCAGTGAAATTACTCACCTACAAATGAAACACGCCCACTAAATTTGCTGGTCCAAATTCTGAAGTTAAATTTCCTTGAAATAAACCATATTGTTATTTATGATGAGATCATTACGAAAGTGTTGTAAAATGTTTAACTGACAAAAACTATTTCCTCTGAGAAAAGTACTGTGGTAATCTAGGGCTTGTACGTATAAGTTAGAAAATGGAGAGAGAACAGTTAGTTGATACTGCTTACACTTTAGTTCTGTTTTTATTTTAACTTGAGTTTGTACTTTTTTAAAAAAATAAGGTGTTGGTTGCAGATAGTAAAACACACCTATTCTGGGTTATAGTTCTGACTTTGGACAGATTCATGATGTCTTACAAACCTTGTCACAATTAGGATACAGAGCACTCTTTTCCCACCCTCAATTCTTTCATGACCTCTTATATTCAACTGCTCCCCTAGGTCTAGAGCTTGGCAGCAGTGATTCATTTTCTGTTCCTATAATGTCCTCTTTAATTGAATTCTGTAAGAAGACAACCATGTAGTGTGAAACTTTTGAATCTGATTCTTGAATCTTTGACACGTAATGCATTGGAGATGTAACTTTGCTGTGTTGTGTGACTTAGTACTACTCCTTTTTATCCCCTCCCCCTTTAATTGCTGAGCAGTGTTTGACTGTATGGGTGGACTGTAGGCCTTTAGTTCAAGGACAGTTGGGTCATTCAGTGTTTGCTGTCAGGGAATAAAGCTGTGTGTATCAGTTTCTTTGTGAAAGTCATGTGTAAATACTTGAATAATTTCTGGATCATATGGCTTCATAAGAACTTACCTTCACTCCAGGTTGGGTGACAGGATGGCTTTGCCATTTGAAGTGTGGGAATGTCCCGTTATCTTTAATCCTACCACCTGGTGAGTGGTCAGTCCCTTCACCGCCTTCTCGTGGTGTATAGGAAGACCTTACTGGGGTTTTCATTTGCAGTTCTCTCAAAAGCTTCTAATGTTAAATATCTTTTTTCATGTACTTGTTGGCCATATTATGGTCTTTGTTACATAGTTTGAATATTTTTAAAAATGACATTATTTTCTTATTTAATTCTGAGATATTTTTAAAAAAAAATATTGTGGCCCTTTTCAGCCTGTTTTTCTGGTGTGGCTATAGAGAAGTATTTAATTTGATGAGGTCTGGCTTGTTAATCTTTACTTTCGTGGATCATGCTTATGATTTCTTATTTAAGAGCTCAATCTAAAGTAGGATTACAGAAGATTTTCTCTTAGAAGTTTATTTATTTATTTATTTATTTATTCATTTATTTATTTATTTTTCCCTGAGACAGGGTGTCTCTGAGTAGCTTTGGAGCCTATCACTCTGTAGATCAGGCTGGCCTCGAATTCACAGAGATCCACCTGCCTCTGCCTCTGTCTCTCAAGCACTGGGATTAAAAGCATATGCTTTATACTACCACCTGGCTCTCTTAGAAGTTTTATAGTTTGTTTTTTTTTTTTTTTTTTACTTTAACCAGTGATCATTTTGAATTTTAAATTTTATGTGTGTTGCAGTGGTCACAATTGGCTTTGTTATGCATGGCGTTCATTTGTTCTTCATGAAAAGATGATTGTTTGGCATTGGAATGCTTTTTAATCTTTGATTCTGATTTTTTTTGTAGTAAATTATGAGGAAAAAAAAGAGACATTCTGTTTTGTATAACTTAGTAACTTCTATACAGCCAGTTTCCCTTGTATGAAATTATTTTTATTATCTGAGTCTGCTTCATGGAGGCCTTATAGAATCTGGTTGTCACGCACACAGGCACATAGGAAGTTGGTCTCATAAGAGTTGGGCAGCGTTGTTTCTTCCTTGTTGTTAATATTTGTGTGTATGTATTTCTGTGTCGTTCAGAACAAGTACTTACCTGGCATTTATTTGGTTAGCAGTTTGGCTATCTGTTGCCAGTAATAATAAAATGTGCTGTTTCCTTTATCTCATTGTACTTAAAAGCTGCCTTTTCAGAATATGGAATTTCTTCCAATTACCTCAACATCTTAACTTACGGCTTTTTACATATACATTATATATATGCATATATAGTGTACTTCTTCTGATTGGAAAAAATTCAATAATAGCATATACTTATTGTAGAAAAATTGAACAGAAGGTACAATTCAAACTATTAGTAATATAATCCAGACACTCAGAAGTTATGTGCCCACAGAGCATTAGTATAATAAGTTAACCTACTGTGACTTTTAAAATACATATTTAACAAGAACATAGATTGGACTTTATATGTTCACAAGCTTAATAATATTCATTTTATGTAATTTCAGTATTTCTGAAATCATGATTTAGTACTAGAAAATATGCCTTTAATGGCTATACTATCTTTTGTGTGGCTGTCTACTGTGCATAAATCTGTCAACACCTGATACATATGTTTTTATGTAGCCATTTCCTTAGTGAAGTTTTAGTTTATGTATTTTTACTGTGAATAACATTTTAATGATAGCATTAGCAGCCAGGAGTGCATATAGTACACATATCTTACTTACTCTACAGTAGGAGTGCATATAGTACACATATCTTACTTTACAGTAGGAGTGCATATAGTACACATATCTTACTTACTCTACAGTAGGAGTGCATATAGTACACATATCTTACTTTACAGTAGGAGTGCATATAGTACACATATCTTACTTTACAGTAGGAGTGCATATAGTACACATATCTTACTCTACAGTAGGAGTGCATATAGTACACATATCTTACTTACTCTACAGTAGGAGTGCATATAGTACACATATCTTACTTTACAGTAGGAGTGCATATAGTACACATATCTTACTTACTCTACAGTAGGAGTGCATATAGTACACATATCTTACTTACTCTACAGTAGGAGTGCATATAGTACACATATCTTACTTACTCTACAGTAGGAGTGCATATAGTACACATATCTTACTCTACAGTAGGAGTGCATATAGTACACATATCTTACTCTACAGTAGGAGTGCATATAGTACACATATCTTACTCTACAGTAGGAGTGCATATAGTACACATATCTTACTTACTCTACAGTAGGAGTACATATAGTACACATATCTTACTTACTCTACAGTAGGAGTGCATATAGTACACATATCTTACTCTACAGTAGGAGTGCATATAGTACACATATCTTACTCTACAGTAGGAGTGCATATAGTACACATATCTTACTTACTCTACAGTAGGAGTGCATATAGTACACATATCTTACTTTACAGTAGGAGTACATATAGTACACATATCTTACTTACTCTACAGTAGGAGTGCATATAGTACACATATCTTACTTTACAGTAGGAGTGCATATAGTACACATATCTTACTTACTCTACAGTAGGAGTGCATATAGTACACATATCTTACTTACTCTACAGTAGGAGTGCATATAGTACACATATCTTACTCTACAGTAGGAGTGCATATAGTACACATATCTTACTTACTCTACAGTAGGAGTGCATATAGTACACATATCTTACTTACTCTACAGTAGGAGTGCATATAGTACACATATCTTACTTTACAGTAGGAGTGCATATAGTACACATATCTTACTCTACAGTAGGAGTGCATATAGTACACATATCTTACTTACTCTACAGTAGGAGTGCATATAGTACACATATCTTACTTTACAGTAGGAGTACATATAGTACACATATCTTACTTACTCTACAGTAGGAGTGCATATAGTACACATATCTTACTTACTCTACAGTAGGAGTGCATATAGTACACATATCTTACTCTACAGTAGGAGTACATATAGTACACATATCTTACTTACTCTACAGTAGGAGTGCATATAGTACACATATCTTACTCTACAGTAGGAGTGCATATAGTACACATATCTTACTCTACAGTAGGAGTGCATATAGTACACATATCTTACTCTACAGTAGGAGTGCATATAGTACACATATCTTACTCTACAGTAGGAGTGCATATAGTACACATATCTTACTCTACAGTAGGAGTGCATATAGTACACATATCTTACTTACTCTACAGTAGGAGTGCATATAGTACACATATCTTACTTTACAGTAGGAGTACATATAGTACACATATCTTACTTACTCTACAGTAGGAGTGCATATAGTACACATATCTTACTTTACAGTAGGAGTGCATATAGTACACATATCTTACTTACTCTACAGTAGGAGTGCATATAGTACACATATCTTACTTACTCTACAGTAGGAGTGCATATAGTACACATATCTTACTTACTCTACAGTAGGAGTGCATATAGTACACATATCTTACTTACTCTACAGTAGGAGTGCATATAGTACACATATCTTACTCTACAGTAGGAGTGCATATAGTACACATATCTTACTTTACAGTAGGAGTGCATATAGTACACATATCTTACTTACTCTACAGTAGGAGTGCATATAGTACACATATCTTACTTTACAGTAGGAGTGCATATAGTACACATATCTTACTTTACAGTAGGAGTGCATATAGTACACATATCTTACTTTACAGTAGGAGTGCATATAGTACACATATCTTACTCTACAGTAGGAGTACATATAGTACACATATCTTACTTACTCTACAGTAGGAGTACATATAGTACACATATCTTACTTTACAGTAGGAGTGCATATAGTACACATATCTTACTTTACAGTAGGAGTGCATATAGTACACATATCTTACTTACTCTACAGTAGGAGTACATATAGTACACATATCTTACTTACTCTACAGTAGGAGTGCATATAGTACACATATCTTACTTTACAGTAGGAGTGCATATAGTACACATATCTTACTTACTCTACAGTAGGAGTGCATATAGTACACATATCTTACTTTACAGTAGGAGTGCATATAGTACACATATCTTACTTACTCTACAGTAGGAGTGC